GCACCTTCTGCGCGGCACAGATTTTTCTTCAACACACTGCACGACTTCTTAGCTCTTTTCATTTCCAAGTCAATCACCAATAATATACAATGCGTCGTCAATCAATTGTCGCTACGGTCCTTTTGGGCGTAACTATGGTCGCAGCTGGTAACCCCGACAAGCCAGAAGTAAACCCTCACATTCCATATGACCGTTTGGAAAGCGACCTCCGAAACAACCTTCATCCAACCCAATCAACATGGGACTATTGGGGTGCTGGTTGGATTCCCCAGGGTTGCAAGGACTTAGCAAACACATACCACCTCAATCCTGCGGACTTCACTGTCTTCAATGTTCACTATACTGACTGCAGTGCGTCTTGGACGTTCTGTCGCCACAAAGACGCTGGAGCCTCGGAAATAGATATGATTGACATGCTCGGTCGATTGCCAGTTCGCATGCGCTCATACACACGGTAAATTATATACACTTTATTTCCGTTGTAGTGGCATTGACACTGACACTTGCATTGCAGACATCTCATGGCTACTCCCGGTCTGAATGATGGTGCCGCTGCTTGGACTTGGTCTACCGGTGACACTGTCGTCGAAAGCGCTCCAAATCTGGCAACTTTGGTCCATGAAGTTTCTCATAGCCTTGACTGGCATGCTCTGCCGCAATACCAACAGCCATTCAGCTCCTCGTCTATCTGGCAAGACAATTATAACCAAGACTCTGCCACTCCTACAGGTTATGGCCGGACGAATTGGATGGAAAACTTTGCTGAGACTGGCATGGTGGGAGTTTACGACAAAGTTGTTCCAGGAGGTATTGGCAATATTGAATCCAACTGGAATTCCATTTTCCACCAGTATGCCACATATCAGGGATACCTGGGCGACAAGATTATCCCCGGTGGCTCTTGTGCTAACAGATTCGACGATACGGCACCGGTTACTATGAGCAATAGCGCAAAGTTTAGAGTTACCAGCCCCAAGCCAGAAACAGGGATTGACTTTGCTGGAAAGAATATTACTCAGATTATCCCAAGCAAGGAGGTTGAAGGATTATTTATTAAAGGATAGGTCAAATACCCATTAGAATGCAAGAGTTCGAGCCTAATGTAAACTACCAATGTCTCGACGGCACAATTTTCAACTTCAGTGTTTTCTTTTTTTTTGCTCTTTGCTCAATAAGTCTTAGTAAATATTGGCTTTATGGCGATTAAAAAAAAGGAAAAGATTTATATACCACTTGGAGCTTTATCTGTCTTGAGTTCTTTAAGTCTGACGTGAAGTAAATAGTATTTTGGGTTTAGGGTTGACGGTGTAACACTGTGAAGACTCTAGATATTCGAAATATTAGCAATCCTAGTGTAGCAGATGTGTCTATTACAAGCCTCGAGTATACCGGTTTTTTGAGCTTTCATTGACTAATTCTGCTCCAAAAGTATTGGAATGGCTTGTATAAAATCATGAAGCCCGTTTTATTTTGACTAGCTACTTGATTCTCTCTGGTACAATTGCTCATTGTAAGTATTGGCGAGCTACATCTTCCGAAGGATTTTTGACCATGCAGAAGTTGAACAATAAGGTGTCATCAAATAGTGTATCAGATGCACTACGTAAGCACAGAGCTAGATGATATTGTAACCATGCGATGACCATTCCACGCCATCATCCCCCGAGTCGATATGTCTTGAGATACTAGATGGGATAGATACCATTTGATATATTAGATTATCATTGTATCAAGTCATCCAAGTCTCATCTGTAGACTCCCAGCTGTTATTCCGGACCTGACTATCCCATGTATGCTATTGTAGTTTTGTTAATTGTTATGTCATTAAAGGTTAAAGGTTGAACTGAGAGCCAATAGAGAGGAGAGCTTACCCAATCAAATTCTTCTGATACATTGAATATATCCTCCATCATAATCGGCATCGAGTCTCTCATCGTCTTCAAATCATCTAGCCGCTGCCCGCCACGCTCTGAATACGTTTCGCTAGACATGTACCCCTGAAATTGAGTGTCCTCGGATAAGATGTCTTCTGTAGCACCTGCTGTGTATTGTTAGCTTTTGCCATCTTCTGCCATGAGTGACTGCTTGGAAAGACGCACCATGTGCATTATGCAGCCTAGACTGAAGATCATCCGCAGATCCTCCTTCACTCCGTACAGACCCTTGGTGGTTTTTCTTCGCAATTTGCAACATTACTTCAAGTGCCCTGGAGGCCTTGCGAGCCTCCGGAGACACTTCAGTGAACGCCATCCAAATACTGTACGAGGTTTCCAGTGCGCGTAGCAATCTCTGTCTGGCCTCGAATATCGGACTATCCGAGCTGTGATGAATGCTACCTGAGTCCTGCTCAGTCTTGGAAGATAGTTCCAAGCACAATATCATCGCAGCAAGGAGAAAGTCATGACTTGTAAGTGACGTTACAAACCACCTATCTCTGTACAACTGCCCTCCCGGTTGTGTTTCATGGTAAATGTCATTCTGATGTCGAAGAATCTGCGTGGCTGCGTCTACACATGACCATCTTGAGTAAGCATACCTCAAATCGGAGCGGTGTATAACCAAGTACCTCCGATGAAGGACGCATCGAGCTTTCTGATATAGCAGTTCGAGATTATACCGTTGCATAATGAGGTCTGCTGGGTCCATAATGGACATGTTCATTGTGCGGATGCGCAGGAACGCCGGCAATGCGCCATGTGCATTTTGAAGCTGCTCGTCAAGCTGTGCAACCTCCTCATGCTTTGTGTCCGTGGTCGAGACGGATCTTTCGGCAATCCGGCCAAACACAGACATCAGTTTGCTTTTCACTATTGCATATGTCACTGGAGTACGCTCCGCCATGGGCCTGGGCGAAGGGAGAGCTTTTGTTGTCTCATCGAAGTCTCCGTCGAGGAGATTGTGGGGCAACCCCGTATCGCATTGCAAGTCGGGTATTATTTTAGGGAGGCCAACTTGAAACGAAATGAGATGATCTCCTTGCCATATCAAAGCCCAAACTCGTCTCCTCATCTCCCCATCAAAGACCGACAGGTTCTGATAGTGTTTCGAATCACGATGGTATCCCATATGCATCGCTAACCTAGCAATAACACCACCGAGAATTGAGCTACCGATTTGGGTATCGCCAGTTCTTAAGAATTCTGTTCCAGAGTAGAGAAGGAGAGTTTCGAGCTTGTACCTTCCTGGGATGGTGTAGTTTGCGAGAACTAAGCATTGTGCTGCGCAGGTTCTATAGACTTCAGAAACACGGGCTGGCTCGCCCAAAGAGCCTGGAAGCGAGTCGCCCGCACGAGCGTAAAAGAAGATTGCATAGCACATGATAGCAAACAGAAGGCCAACCCACGCTATTGATGCTGCCTGTTGATTTTCCCAAAACTGTGTGTACTGCCAAGATCGTCAGTTCCTGCTAATACCAACGGATACCTCGTTGATTACTTCTCTGTAGAATGTTGGAACGTGGAGAATCACTAAGTTCTAGTTAGTATCTCATCCATATAGACGCAACACTTACATTGTTTATGTTTTTTGTACTTACTTGTGGAGGGCTCTTTGGCATTGAAATAACGAGAAATGAGACGATCGACTACAGGCCTTGGAGGTAGAAATGCCAGGACATCAGCACGGTTCATTAATGGAGACAAGCCAACAAACAATGTTGGTCCAGATCTTTCCTCCTCGGTAATGCCCAGGAGAAGCTCGTCATCTGCTTGTTCAAGTGCTTCTGTGCAATCCTTTAGCTCTCTTATCTTTTGATCTTGTTAGCTTTAGCTCCATGATGGTTGTGCTGATTTTACACGCTCTGAATACCTACATCGTCCAGAATGGCTTCCCAATGTGTAGCATCAACCCATCTTGTGCCCATATGGCCTGTAAGCATCATTCCTGGAGGATTAATTGTGTTTCCTATCCCTGTATCAAGACCCTGCGAAATCTCGCTGGATATTTGGCCTTCATCAGTAGCCGATGTTATTGGAAGACTCCCCGACAGCTCCGTCGTTTGACTCTGACTTCCGGCATTTTGGTTTCTCAGTGACAAGACAATGTTTTCCAAATGGCGTATCCTGTTAGCAATGTCGCCACGGCCTGTGACAGGGTAAACCTGCCCTGCCCTGTCGCGTCCCGCAGTGGGCGTATAGTGGCACAAATGCGACAGATTGCGCTTGGCACAGTTATCACAGGGATGTCCTCGATCGCACTTGAGTCTTGAAACGCCATTACATCAATTCTGTGCCCGTGCCGAAGCAACAATGGAAGATATGCAGGGGCGCACGTACTTTTTAATTCTGCAGTGCGTGCAAGAGAACTGGGCCCTATGTCTCCTCTTCTCTTCGTACGGTGGTGGCTTTGTTGCAATTTGAACCTCCTGCTGACCACCGCCTAATATGTTTGGTAGTGTACTTTGGTCCATTCTGGCAGAGAGCAAGGCTCGCTGCAAACCGATAGTGATTGCAGTGCAGTGTGAAGCCAACACAGCAGAGGGAGGACTTCTGATGAAGTGAATGTCACATCACGTGTTTCTGAAGGTCTTGGCAGGCTGTATGCACTCGGATTTAGATGTCCGGGAGCCGGAGCTTGGGGGGTCGAGAGTCCAATCTCTAAAGTGAGTTACTATTCTCCACAGCTGGAATGGGACTCGAAGCAGTGCTCTACTTCTGCAGCCTTGAACTGAACAAGGAGCATTCAAACCTCCGCTGAGTAGCGACCCCCGCAGCTAACTTTGGCTTTGATTAGCGCCGGATCTACGACTAGCGCCGGACCATTGCCCCGGGTTCATGTTGGTTTAGCACCGGATCACGTCAAATTCGACTGACCTATGCGGAACAGAGGCGAAACTTCCCTATTGCTGGTATTTGTGCCATGGAATTGAGTCGTAGAGTCGTCATTATCAGACTTCTCCTGATTTATGATTTACTATTTAAAGCATTTGTAGCTTCATCTAACAGCAAGTTCGCATCTCTTCATCCTACGTCAGACTATTGCGACAAATATCTTTTTTCACAATGCATGCTAAGCAATCAACTTTTTCTGAAAATGACATTCCTAACCTACAAGGCTATGTTATCATAGTCACCGGCGGTAAAGTGTCCCATATGCCTTGCACAGTGAGTTACCATTTACACAACTAACGGTACTCGGCTTAGGTAACTCTGGAATTGGGTACGAAACCACTCTTCAACTAGCGCTACGTGGTGCGCGTGTCTACATTGCCAATCGCTCTCGCGAGCGTGCTGATGAAGCCATCGCGCAAATGAGGCAATCCACGAACTCTTCAACAATTGATGTACATCATCTCAAGATGGACTTGCTCGACTTAAAGTCGGTGCAAACAGCGGCACAGGAGTTTATTAAGCTGGAAGATCGTTTAGACGTGCTCATCAATAATGCCGGAGTAAGCAGAAAGCACCGTTCTTGCGGACAATTTCTTTCTAACTATTTAGATCATGGCAGCACCATACAAACTTACAATTGATGGATATGAAACCCAGTGGCAAACAAACTACTTATCACCTCACGCCTTTACTGTCAGCCTTCTTCCACTTCTTCTTTCCACTGCAGCAAGGTGTGGCAGCAAAAGTCGAGTCCGTGTTGTCAACGTGAGCAGTGACTTGGCATTCATTGGACCTGATAGCATTCAATGGGACGATGTCAATATGACGGGAACCAAAGGAATGTTAGAACTTTTGTAGGTAAACCCGGCGTGCGAATTCTGGTAGACCCTGGCACATGTTGTTTCCATGAATTATTTACATGGTTGTATAGGAAACGCTATGGTCACTCCAAGCAAGCTATTATTCGTGATGCAAGTTTTGTCAATAGTTGCTACAGCGCACAAGGTAAAGAAACCACCGAAACTTGCGTCCCTTTACTTGCCCTAGTTAGCTGATTCTCTACGGAATAGGTGTCACTGCGTATTCGCTCCACCCAGGTATTGTGCGCTCGAACCTACAACATCACGATCCGTCCATGTTTGGAACTGTAATGCGAGTGGCCATGAAAATAGGACCTAGTGACACTCCTTTACGTGGAGCCCTCACTTCTCTGTATTGCGCTACAAGTCCAGAGGCAGCAACTTTAGGAGCTGGCAAATTCTTTGGTCCTGTGGCAAAACAGAATCCGCGTGCAGATGCGTGGTTGAGGGACAGCGAAGGAAATAAACGTTTGTGGGAGCTTGGGGAATCGGAAATGAAGTCTACTGGTCTCGCAGTATGAACATGCACGCGACCTTCGTAATCAGCCATATTAACCCTTGTCATTAAAGCCATGTGGAAAAAAATAGACTGATTTTTTATTTCTATGACAATGATTATTTTAAGGTAAACAAGTAGATTCAGCGACGTTTTTGCTACTAGAATAAGCCATCTATACTCAGTATGCCCTGCTTTCATACGAGGGCAACGACATTCCTCCGATTGAAATTTTATGGAGAGCATGGGAAATTTTTATCGCCTCTGTTAGTTAGCCACAGCGGTATTTCCTCCTATCACAGTAGCTTTCGTCCCACAGATATGTAAAAATTCTAACACTAGGGATAATATAATACGGCAGGGGTGTTGGAGGCCTTGGAGGCCTTACCTACATAGTCATTTGTGCAACCCGTAATTAGGTATTTACTATTAATTTTATTGCGTCGAAGGCATTCTATTTTTCTTGATTCTTACATATATCGACTTACTACCTACCGACTAACAACCTTAGGACAATTTAGAATACAGACAGCATGAATTATTTCGCAATACCGTCTCATAGCGAACCAAAGTATCAAACTTTATTACTTGATATTATTTTGACTTATATACATTTCTTTATAAACAAATTATTGGTTGCCCCAACTGTGGCGGCGATCGAATATTCTATTTGCAGTCGTCATTATAGCGATCACTCCAACCATACAGTCGAAATGAGCCGTAACCAAGAGCTGCCTTGTAAAGTTGAGCCGTTGAAAAATCGGGTGATCTTTTTGCTCGGCTGGTATTACTCCATTGATTGTCTCCCAGGTACGTTTACGCGCTCATTCGCTAAAGATGCCGTCTGATTATCTAAGGAATCTGTACGGCTCGTCTTTGGGGGCTATCTTATCTCTTTTTCTATATCCATACGTTGCAAACATTTCCCCAATGCTTGTTGTGATCTCTATGGTTTCGACCGCATCGCCTAATCAATATCCCTTGCCAGTAGGCTCGCCAGCGAGTGCTAACATACCTCAACGCGGGAAATAGTTATAATATGGCTTGACATTGGAAAGTCAATCGCGGATTGCTTTGCGGATTGTTGTACGCCTATAATCCAACCTACGGCCAAAGCTGCACTGCACCTTTCTAATCAAAGCGTCAGTCCTGGTCGAGCTAGCAGCAGTGCACTATTTCTAGATCCTGATTATGCAACACAGAGCACTACTCAGAGCCCACAACATCTGTCTTCACAGTATGGTCAAGGCTTGAAGGTAGCTCTCATGCGCGCCTCACCACTGTATGCTCTGAGCGATATATTCCGTCATAGCGCCTGCAGCTCCAACCAGATGGTGAATATGCTCATGGGTCGTGTCAAAGATGCGCTCCGCGCATCATATCTAGATCGGCACAAAGGTCTGTCGTGTAAAGGCTTACGGTTCATCAAGAACGTGCTCGATGAGCATTCAGCGTATCTAGAGGAGGTTGTGTGGTTTCTTAAAAGTGGTGTTTCTGCATGGCTTAGCCCTAGACTAACTAGCAACCTTTCTCAGCATACAAATCAAAGTGTGAATATGGAAAGTAGCGCCACCAATACCAAAAAGGGTACGGGAAATAAGAAATTGAGTGTTGCAATTGATACCACGCAGATGGAACTTCTGGAAGACTACCGCTGCCTGCTGCGTCGTTTCCAGAGGCTAGGGCTCGATGCAAAGATGGAACAGCTATCATTATAAACGGGGCCGCGCTTCGCGAGTCACAAAGGGGAATTGAACAAGCTGAGGAGGTCAAGCTACTGACCAAATTAGCCTTTATCTTTGCCCCTCTATCGTTCTTGACATCAATCTTTGGAATGAACTTTGTAGATTTATCACTGAAACAAGGCTTGGCGGCGTTGTTTACCACTGCTGTTTTCTTATTGATTGCTTTGCTTATAGCGCGCTTACGTAGCGGTCAGAGGCATTTGGATATATTGCAATACTGGTTACCATAGTAAAAAAACTTATGCGGTTATTCAGTAGATTGAAACGTACGTACCTATAATGATAGAAAAGAAATTGTGTATCTGAGGCTTCCACTATACCTACCTTGGCCAACTAAGCTACCAATTGCCTGGGCAGATGTCTGTAGTCTCTGTAACGTAGGTACTATACTTTACATGTAAAAGAGTATATGTCAGGCATGCTGGAATGTCACTCGAAGCGGTTATTCTCAGTCCGTGCATTTGGAACTTATATGGCAGTGTTACAATTCCCTTACACTGTGTTAGTAGGAGCCAGCGTGAACCTATTCCTCCTAGACAGGGGGAGCGGCCAGAGCCTCCGTACGACTAGCTTGAAGCAGAGTACGAAACAGAACACTAATCTCAGCGGAAAGATACTCCAAGACCAAGCCTTCAAAGCAGAGACTGATATGGGGTATGTTTGGTATTCAACGAAAATCGGGCGATTGCTGGGGCTCGGATGAGAGGTAGGCGCGCACTAGTAAGAAATACCCCTCTAGTGAGCTGGAAGCTTCCGCTCTACAGCACCTGGCACAGGCTATTCGGTACGGCTTTGGCAGCACCCCTTATAAAAAAAAGGAGCCTTCCCCCCTATAGCGCTATGTAACTTAAGCGCACAAGCCGGAGCCCTAGCAGGATTCCGGGCAGAATAAGTAATAAAGGGTTGGTTTATATACTCTCATTTTGAAGCCTTTCCGCATTTCTATACATTTGTTCGGGATGTGCTGCATCCCTTGCTACTGTCCAATTCACAATAGCCCCATAGTCGCGGCATGTATGGACAGATGGCCAGGTGGGTGATTTCAACTTACTGCCCTCAAGGTATTTGATAGGCTCGACTGTCATATCGCCAGCACACATAATGCTAAGTCGAAGCCTGTCTAAGCAGTGCTCTAAGGAACAGTTCTTAGAAACAGCTTGCATAGGCTTGCGGTCTCAAGTGAAAGAACTTACCAAGTTGTACAGGAAGCCTTGGATCAGCCGCTAGCTCGGGATAATAGTCGAGTTTCGTGTATTGTCGCAACATGTTCTTGAGGTCATTAGCGTCTTTCTGGTATATAATTTCGATGGACTCTTAACATACGACGCAGTGTAGCTCGTGTGTCACTGACAATCTTCAATTTGAATCAGCCAACGCATTCAAAAAGCTGGATACGAGTTCTTCATACTGCCCGTAATACAGATTGTACTCTGGATCGCGCGCTAGACCTCCTCCGAGAAGTTTTTCTTCACTTGGCGTAACCCAGACAGTCACGGCTATGCGTCCATTAGCATGTTACTGATTCATTATCTGAGTATAAACTATCATTTACCTGGAAGTAGCTCTTTCCAAGCTTCTTCAAGTTCTGTTGAAGGCTCTCCTACATAGTCTGGACTAGAAGGAATCCGAATGAGAGTACCAGCAGGATTGTACTCGAGCTGAGCATCGTACAGAACGTCGCTCCATGTTCCCGAGAGCTGCTCTCTGGCCGCACCTGCCACTAATTAGCAATGGATTATGCGGACCAGCTGCGGTTGTCTTTTGTCTTCTTTTCCTTGAGATCTTTCTGAGATACTCACTGAACTCACTAGGCCGCCAAAACTTATGTGAATCGCACAACTGCCCTGACCGCGCACGGCTGAGAAAAAAGCCAACAAGAATACCAATAACAAGAGAGGACAGGTGCAAAGTAACTTTTACCAGCCATAGTGCCCGTTGGTGACGCCGAGATGGTTCTTGGTGTATATCACCCAACAGGCTTGCGTCCATTTTGAGCTCTGGGATAGACTCGAAGCTGACCCTAGAATAGGACTCCATCCCTAGGGCGTATGTGCAGTTGCCAATATGATGGTCGCAATAGGATAGCTGTCTCCTTGAACATCAGATAAATGAGGTATTTCATCAATAAGGCCTGAGTTTGCAGAGAAAAACGCCTGGGGCGATCTTTGCTTTTGCTTGGAGAGTAAATGGTACAATCACGTCACGCAAACAATATCAACGTCATCTGGACACATCACAAGCATATCATAAGCAAATTAGGTGATAAGCGCCTCATTGCATAATAAACCAATATTTATGGGCGGATACAGCTCTTATCTAAGACAACAGGAGACAGAGCTAACACAGACAGCCTTTATCTTTGGTCAAAGGTTAGTTTTCAAAAGTTTAGATGGGATCGCAGAGTGGCCGGGCCAAACGTTAAGGACTTGGCTACAGTGCTTACTGACCAAGTCCAGGGTTAAGTCCTACTATAAATTAGTGAAGACAATGAGCACAGTCCGACAGTCCCAGCAATCTTCCCACATATCCAAGTAAATCTCGTTCCTGAGAGTCGATCAAGTTAAATAGAATGTCAATAGAATGTCCATAAAACGGGTCAGCAAGTCTTGTAGATTTCAAAGTTGCCCGAGACAAGAGGGACTGGGGTTAATGGCTGCTCCTATGCGCGCTTCTTCCTTCCCCATCAGACAAGGGATAACAAATCAGGCGACGAAGCTTACACTTAATGAGGTAATTTCACTTTCAATAAATCTTTTGTTAAATAGTGACAAGAGTTTCGTCATGAATTATATATCTATCTTTGTGCGCGAGGAAGAAAAGTAAGCATCTTGTGTTAAAATCTGCGGATGGTCAATAAGAGACGTAGAGGAACTTGTTACATATTACACGTTGTGTTCATTTTCCCAAGTGCACTAAAAAAAATTATGCAAAAGCTGGCTTTATATTATAATGACTTGCAAAGACAATTCTAGGACTATCTCGAACATGTAATAGACAACAAGCTGACCCTTTCGGTTTCTAGACGTCACATGTGTTTGCGTATCATCCTCCCCCCCCTCCCCCGCCAAAAAAAAAACCAAAAAATGAAGCCCTAAGAGCCAATGGACTGCGTTTGAAGTGTTCCCCGGGCTAAAACCCTTGATTGACTTTGCAGAGCACGCCACGATGCTGACGGTCAAGCTGTTCATTTTCAGAGATAACCCGCATAACATCGTGGAACCGAACACAAGCAGCAGGCTATTCCTCACGCTTGTCGTAGTAACCCTTGTAGCCTTGCTGCGCATCGCGCTGAGGAGCTCGTGCAACAAGCTCCTCCTCACGCTTGTCGTAGTAACCCTTGTAGCCTTGCTGCGCATCGCGCTGCGGCACTCTGCTAACTAAGTTTTTTCCATCTTGATTAACTATAGCAAACGTTAACCCAGATTATCCACAGTTTGTCGCATAGGTAATTTGGAGGATCCGCCCTACATACCCGGCAAAGGTGACGCGATGGTTGTGCCGGCGATGACTAAAATGATTGCAGTGGGGAAACGCATGGTTCAAAGTATCAATGCTCGGAAGTGCGAACTAGGACGTTTTGTGCATGGGCTTCTAGCAAAAGGTGCTTATATGTCTTGAGCAGGGAAGCCAAGCCAAGCCTCGCCTCATGTCTTTAATACTTTTCTCAAATTAACCAAAACAGTATGACAACAACCTTCTTTACTACCATCGACGTGAGGCATCACGACTGACAATGAATGGCTAGATTCACTACCTCGTCATTTGAACCATCTGCAAAAATACATGAAGACCAATATAACGTTATCTGGCATGGCCATTTGTCATTGTGGGGCATTGTCATCTCACCTTATCTTGTATGGCGTCATGAAAGCGTTCATGGAGATCTTGGCTTCGTAAGGCGGGTCAACATAGTGTAGTTGACAGTTCCATCTCCTGGGATCATGATAACGTTATAGGTCTAGAAGAGATGATACACATCTTAAATCTCCCAATGAACCTTTTCATCTTACTAAGCCATATTACTTTCCGAGAGGGGGAAGAGTTCGTAAACACGAGAATATGCAGAAGTGTGAGATTGCGTCAAGGTCTACTCTGTTAACAGAAGTAGACAGCACTGAAGTCTATGTACATGTACATGGAAACACAAAGTCATTGTTACTCAAGCGGATCGCGATGTCAATTATTCTCACTACTGAAGGGGAATAAGGCACAATAGTCACAAAGCTAGTCTACCACCAGCAAGCTGCCGTTTGCAACACTTTTGTTTACATCCCAGTCAGTTCGTCTCTGCTTTGCCCAATCATGAATTGACTCAAAGTCCCGGCATGTGTGTGGAGTAGCGGTATCGAGAATCACTCGGTTACCTGCAAGTCTCCATTCCATTGGCGTCAAATCTGCATGGCACTGCAGAGCTTGGCGCAGGTGATTTATGCAGTGACCTGGTAGTGATAAGATGTGAATAGTATTCACAGAGAACGACATGGAGGATAACTCACCGATATGTTGCTCGCGGTCGGGATCTCCAGCTTGACTGAAGATGTGACCGTAGTAAGTCGGATACAAAGCTTGTCGAAGACGATTCTAAAACTGTGAATTAGCAACGGCTTGAATCGTTGTTTGCGGATGCACAGCTCATACGTACTAAGCAGTGCAAGGAATGGAAGACCTCGAACCCAGTGAAGTAGTAGCCGTTATCAGGCCATTGTATGGAATGGCTCTCCGAATTGATATCGGAGGGGGGCAAGTCAATGTTCAAGCCTGCCGACGACGTGTTTCTGTCTTAGAAAAAATGGCTCCCGTCTCTTAATCCTAGGGTAGATAGGCTCACCATTCAGAAGCAACGACCATGCTTCATCCACGGATGGAGCCGGCTCCCCGACAAACTCCTGGCCGCCATGATCGGTAAAGAACTGTCCATCAGGGCCAATTTTGACACCTCCACTGAATTCTAATTCAACAAGATTGACCTTCAGACCCTCTGGCACTGGATGGTATTGTCAGCATTTCTGCAACCTGAGCGACATCGTTGGCACCTACCCATATCGGTGGGAAATCCTCGTTCATATGACCTAATGCTGCAACGTCGCCACAATTGAAAGTAAATGTTTACACCAAGTAAAATGAGATTAAAGACGGTTATCAAAATTGACAAAATGACCTTATATCTTAGGGCTTTGCTTGCTGGCTGATGAGTTCGCTTGGTCCAAGCTGCGTCTACATCGCCCAGCAGGTGGTCCGCAGATTCGCTCTCACTATACGCGTACGCCATGGCCGAGAGTCGTTGTTCGGCGTCGGTCAGTGCAATTCTGTGAGACCGATAAAGATGCTAAAGGTACAAAAAGGAGCATAAAGAAGGATCTTGATCATTGGCGTAATTTTGGCCTGTCGAGCTCTTTGTGCAGACACGTCATACGCAGGTCTTCGAAGCAACGACTTGACACATTACGTGAGATGGATAAGATCTTGGATCCACAGATCAATCGGCAGTAAATACCAAGCAATGCGTGTCTGGGATTGAAAACGGCTAGACTTTGAGCTGGCAATTGTCATGACACTCTTTCCCATCTCTGGTTAATTGTTTTGCAGCCATGTTAACGACCACCAGTGACGAGATGGATGAGCATGTCAGTTTTCTTCACAAGAACGACCGAGCCTGCGAGAAAGTGACGCAGCCGCAAGAAACCAAAGAATATTTTATATTTACAGCGTTGAAACACAATTGGGGGTACCTAGTCGCCGCGCTGTTCATGTTTACGACCTTGTTCACTGTTTGGCGATTGGCAGAGCATAGCGCCACAGGCCAGAGAACCAAGGATCTTCGAGAAGACGTATTCACTTCGGACGGCAAAGCGTTTCCGCACGGCTATCTAAGATGGGAGCAGCGATTTGCGCCACTTCCATGCGGGAAGACGCCTTCCGAGGCTTTGGCGGCCGGGTGCCATTTTGACATTGTCGCGACGGCATGGCTGCCTCCCCGGTGCATCGACTATGAGCTGGTCGCCGAGTTCGAAGCTCTATACGACTGGCAGTACTTTCGCGACCCGAATGGGACAGATCCATATCCCAAGGAACATGATGTCCTGGGTAGCCAGACCGGGACGATATGGACCACGGTTCGCTGGCATTGGGCTCATTGCTTGTTCATGTGGAAGAAGCTCAACCGAGCTCTGGTTCAGGCACGGACAGCTGACGCCGAAGTCGTCCAGCTGAAGCATACCAATCATTGCGTCAACCTGATTTTGCGCATGGATAACCCTGATGCGTTGGGTACCAACGTAGAGATTATTTATCCCCCCTGTTAGCAGAGCACCGTTACACCTTTGTTAGTACTTATAGTTGTGTTTGTGGATCAGTATTTGTGTCAATGCGAATGGAAGAATAATGCCAATTACAATACAAACTTGGAATACAGCCGCTATGAAGAAGCCTGTTAAGGCCTCTGTCAGAAGTCCCAGTGCGAATTTAAGTGATAGACTAAGAGTAACCCAACCATAACTATACCATCCCTATATGCTTGTAAAAGGCCTCGGTGGAGGGCTCGCGTCCTAAGAACTCCTTCAACGTATCCCTTCCGGGCACGCTGCCGCCTTTCTCCAATACCGTGCGACGGTATCTTTGGAACGCTTCGGCGTTGTTTGCATCGCCTCCAAGAGCGTCGAAAACATCGTCCGCGATCGACTTGGCGCTGGTAGAGGTTAGTCACTTCCAAAGCTAATTCTTTTCCCCATATCTGAGATGACACTCACAACAAGTAACCATAGTAACCAGCATCATACTCATTGATAAAGTGCTTAAAGCTCGCGTAGTAACATCCCCATCCTGGTTCGTCCTGATTGGGTTGTGGTGTCTCCACCGAGTACATCTCGGCCCGCATCGAATTGAATAGAGCTGGGATGTCCATGGCTTCCGCAATCTCAGGGCTATCGGCTTGATTAACCTCCAAGTCGAACCTGGCAAGTAATATCTGATCGAGATGATGCAAAGCCTCCATAGCCTTGCTCCGTTGCAGCAGCACACGGATTGACGCTTCTGGAATCTTCTCTGGGAGGTTCGCAGCAGCGGCAGCGGCCCCTTCCTGATCCTGGTTGAGATGGGAAGATTGACCATTTCTTAGCGTGGAAACATGCTGGCTTATTTCGTGGATGACGAGCGGCACGTGGCACAAGTTTTCCAAGAGCTGACTTGGAGATTCGCCAAAGTCTATAGGGGTCCCATCAGGCCCATGGAAACGAGCAAACTGAGTTATGGACACCAAGTCGTGTATAGCATGCCCAAGCTCATGGAACAGCAACACCACCTGGAAATATCTAAGTGTACAAGGGCTTCCATCGGCAGGACGAGAGTATCCAGATAGTATGGCGGAACGAGGGTGTTGGCGATGACCAGCTTCGTTGGTGTAGCCCTAGAAACCTTGTGAGCATATGTATGGACCGATAGAGAGATTTTGGTGAGCGGCTCACTGGAACAATATTGTGATGGGACGGGCCACCCGACTTCCCTGGGCGACTAAACAGATCCAGATAGAGATGCCCAAGGAACTTGCTTTGCTCCCCATTGTCCCACACGACAAAGTGCTGCACATCCTCGTGCCAAATATGGGTTTGCGGAGCCATGTCAATGTCTCGAGCATCCCAGTTTTGCTCTTTGGAAACACGCTCAAATCTCAGACCAAATAGACGGCCCAGAAGCTCAGTCGCGTTAATCAGGACCGATGTCAAGGGAAAATAGTCAGATATGGTCATGCCTCCCAGTGAAAGGTTCTCGGCGACCACCTTTTGGCGATAGTGTGACACATCCCACAGCCATAGCTTCCCATCGAAAGGTTCGCCGCGGCATTCAAAGTCTGCCTGTTTCCGGTCCCTCAATCTGCTGACATCTTCTTCACCAGCTTCACGTAGCCCTGTTGCTATCTCAGAAAGGAAATTCGACACGGTCTCGGGTGTTTCCGCCAGTCGTTCGGATATACGTAGCGCTGCGTGGCTACGGTATCCCAAAAGGCGAGCTTTCAGTGCACGCTGCTTGATGACTTCGTCGAAGATGGGCCGATTTGCCTGATGCAAAGTCTCATAGGCATACTCAATAGCCCTCCGTGCTTCCGAGCTCTCGGGAGCCGTGCGGTAAAGGCCATTTTGGAGGTCGCTGGCGGACAAGAGAACCTTACCGTTATCCGCCTCACGGGGTAGACCGTCAAGCAGCCTTTGCGGGACTCCCTGAAGTTCGTCGGGGTCAAGCGACAAGCTGGCTTCTGCTGTCCGGATATTTTCTCGGAATGTAAACTCAAGCTTTGCAAGAGATTGGTTGATTTCTTGAACTTTGCTCTTGTCCTCTGCCGATCGTGAAAAGGCCCCATTTCTGAAGGAGGTCTGATAGAATACTTCCAACAGGTGCTTGGACTCGGCGGCAATGTCTTCCTTCTTTTGGCGCACAGCTTCGCATCTTTTACTTACGTCCTCTCGCATGAACAAGGTTGTCTCAAATTCCTGAAAGAGACGCCGGACCCTGGCAGCCGCTTCTCTCAAAACAGGGTCGGATGAGGTAAATTCATGAATGATCGAAGAATTGCGGTGCGATGTTCGCACATTCTCATCCCAAGCTATCGGAAGGATAAAGTTTGCAAAGCTGACGTTTTCTAGAGTCGAAGAAGCGACCAGCCTGTCTATGAGCTTTGCCGAATTGTCAAGGACTGACTCGGCGTCTTGAACCAGGGATGACGCCGTGCATTGCGATGCAGGCTGTTCGTGGGATGACATCTTGGTTCCCTCAATGATCAGACGCCTAAGATGCGCACGGGGGACACACAAACCGTCGCGAAGCTGCCGAGAGATAAAAATTGCTTACCCTACATGTTTTAATAAATTCAGGGAGTTAGGCCTCATCTGACGTGATGCATCTGTCGAGCCCCTTGGTAAAAAACATTCGAATAGTCGCGCCCAACAAAGTCCCTCACGTCAGCTCGCTGCCTCTTCAGGGTGTTATCCGCCCCACGAAACGTTGTAGATATCAGACGGAACGCCCACTCAGTTTTATCGCGGGCTTCAGGATGTGCCAAATTCACCGACAAGATGGTAGCAGCAGCCCAATATCAACCCTTGAAATGCGGGGTCGGCGACCTTCCAGAATCTCGTTACCAACGGCTGCGAGCTGTGATATCTAACCTCTGCGACCAATTCAGACTCTATTCCCCCCCGACGGTGTCCCAACACCCACTTGTCGTATTTATAGCAACTTCTATATTCTGGATGATCGTGCTGTTAGTCTCGCATGTCGATCCTGACAAAGCGTCCTCACGAACGCATCGCAAACTTCCCTATGAGTATGGGACTTTTACAGACCGGTCCCGTCTTGTTACCTGCGGCAGTAGCATCGAAGATGCTATTGATGGAAAATGCTATTACGACATCTTGAGCAACCATTGGATGCCAAGTCCATGCATGGACCAAGCGTCCGTGGAAGAGTATCAAAAGGATGGCTCATGGTTCGGCTTTGCGGACGAGAATAGAACGCAAATGTTGACAGTCATGGAAATGTCCGAGCTCGAATTTTATTACACGTCGGAAAGAGACCACATTGTTCATTGTGCTATGTTATGGAGGAAGCAGTTCAGAGCCTTTGCGGAAGAGCGACCTAACATTGACACGCTTATCGCCAGCAAGGAGCATACCGATCATTGCTCACAATTCCTCATCAACATGACTGATCGGGGACCAGATTACTGGAACATGCCTATAAAAACACATGTTGGTTTCGGCGGATGTTGGATCAAGGAACAGTGAGCGCTATCGTGTCATACTATCGTAAAACGGATATGTCAATTTGCGGGGAAATGCCTCAGTTACTTCGGCGGCACCTTGCATTATAACCGCCAATTGCACAAAACCATAGAAAAAGTCACTAGCCCAGGCTTGTAAAGAAAATGTTGCACGGATCGAGCAGAGGCCAAAATCAAGCATAATAAGTCTAGACTCAGTTACCTTTTAACAATGCAATTACATACCTTTTCTGTTCCTTTTTCCATAGCCTATATACTACTAAGGCAAGCGAATAAAACAGGTTAGAAAAGTTATATAGGTAGGTCTGCTATTGTTAAATTAAAACGTGAAAAGGCAATACCTCTTATAATAAAATCTATAAGAGCCATATAGACAGATTGTACTGGTGCTTCCGTGTTCAATACTGTAAGCTTTGGTTTGCCATTTGGCCTAAAACACTGTTGTGATCATATATCACACCAAGGCAGACTAGTGCACGGAGCTTCCCAATTCCATAATACAAAAGTTCTGATTATCCTTGTTACGCGGCGCAACGGCACAGCTGTCGAGATAAGGCATATGATTTCATTTGTGTATCCTTCGGGCAAAACGCACACACTGGTGTTTCTCCCCACTCCCCTCTTTTTTCCAAGGTTGCCCCTCGTCTTCAGTGCCCACACAATCTTCAGCGAGATACTAAGGTTCGCAAGCCACTGGATCTCGCATCATCAGTCTTTCAGTTGTGGGTTCATCCAAGCCTGGATTTTGTATTGACGATTTCGGGAATCTCGCCTTCGCATGGTTCACCGGAATCTTTACTACCCTTCAGGAGTGCCACTCTGCGCTAATATGATACTTATGATTGGAGTGGGTGCTAGTTCCTTCCGCGATTTCACAGTCATGCCTCAATTTGTTCCAATATGAGCCAACATGCATATGCAGTTGGTTCACTAAATCGCCGTTTATCCTAAGAGCGAACTGGATTGTGGCAGATATAAAGGGCCATTTGCTGTCGCAGAGACCGGAATAAAAAAAACAATTGTCTAGCTCCATTTCTGGGCTCCCAAACCTGTTCATGGTTGTGACTGGGAGACGCCGTTTACGAATTTTTCAAATTATTTGCCCGACGCGCTCGGTGCCAAATGGCCCTACATAAAGCTTTAATCTCATATAACATCGAACCAACAGCAGGAAAGGCAGCACTGCATGCCAAGGAATCCTTTATGGTAAGGATCAGAATACCATCTGTCGCTTTTCCCACTGCACCTCTGTTCATAAGAATAGGTACACTGTGTAGCACCGGACACTAGCAACCGCTAGGCGAGTTATGATTTCGCTATGACTCTAGTAAACGCATTAATTGCTAAAACGGAACGGAAGCGGGAACAGAACCGTATCGCACAGCAGCTCTACCGTACGCAATGACCCAATGTTTTATATCGGTGATCAATACTGAAATTCTCGGGACCTACAGGCCGCAACCAAAAGCGAAAGCTGTTAGAGCTGGAGGCCGCAGTGGCCGCCCAGTCCGCCATCACTTGCTCTGTCATTCATATTCCAGAGGATAAGACCGTGCCAGTCATGTCGCAGGAACAGGATGAAGCTGTCCAGCTCGAACTCGACACCCCCGGGCTCTGCTGCGATGATCGGATCCAGTGGTCTGGAGAGGTGGTAGTAGACAATATAGACTGCTCAGCGCCGCAGACTCTCCGAACACATAACGCGCTCCACCGAGCTGTCAGCTTTGGCAGCCTCTCTATGACCAAACTTCTCATAGACCACGGAGCCTGTGTGTCCACTATGGATAGTCTCGGCAACACAGCCTTGCATTTGGCAGCGGAACGTGGTTTGGAGGACATTGTCAAACTCTTGCTAGACCAAGACATGGATCCGAATGCAGTGAACTTGGCAGGCCAGACAGCTTTGTTCTCCGCCGTGAACGCCCAGAATGAGAATGTTGTGAGGATGATTATAGAGGCTTCCGTCGATGTTAATGTCCGAGACTTCAATGGGCTAGTTGCATTATATATGGCGGTGGAAAGAAACTCAGAACCAATTGTAACTCTTTTACTTAATAATGGAGCTGATATTGATGCTTAGTTGATGTCTTCATGTGAGGAAATTAACCACATGTCGTGGGATGAGACGGCAGTTCAGTCAATGGATGCCAAAAATCACCTCTGTATAACATATGACTGCCTAACAGGATGAGGATCACGACCCAATCTCAAGCATCAAGGGCTTGTAATCTTTGGCTCGCGGCAGCTTCTCCCGCCGCAGCTTCTCCTGCCGCTCGCTGACAAATTCCATCCATGGAGTGTCTTGTTTGATAAGACATATCTTTGACAAAGCGTTGTCACCCAACGAGAGCGCCTTCTACATGATGTTGCGTTTACGTGAGACTTGCACTGTGATCGGTTTTTTGGAACCCCTCCGTCTGAACCTCGCGAGCTGCACACTCTCCAAAGTGATCTCCAAAAACTAGGACCGTTGCTAAGACTTTTCGTTCATTGACAAAGTGTCTAACGGAAAATTTGACTTCCATTTTTTTCTCTAAATTACTGTTTCGCTAGCAATATAGTCTTATAGTATTTAGAAAAGATAGCCTATGGCTTTCTGAGAAGTATTTATAGCGTGTTTAGGAAAGCCTCGCATTAACATCTTGAGGGAGTAGTTCCCTGACTTCCAAGTAAAGCTAACAATTTCTCTACCACCCAGTACATCTCAATTACTCATTTGTCGGTGTAAACTCTCAGCATTGTGCATATAGCGGTCGAGATCGGCAGAGTCTCGCGCTTTGGCCCAAGCTTTTAAACCTTCATAGTCGCGGCACGTGTGATACGTCTCGAAGCGTGCCATGAAGTGGTTCCGGTTTACTGACCATTCAATCGGTATTAGCGTCATGTCAGCTGAGCACATGAGGCTCAGTCGAAGATTATCAATGCAGTGTTCTAGTGAGAGACGTCAGTCTCGCAGTTATCATATCGCTATCGGTCACCGTGGAAGCAGTCATACCGACGTGTACATCAAGGGTATAGTCTTGCAGTTCTGGATACTCATCGATGAAAATCCGCTGCCGAATCAAGTTCTACTCGGCAATATCAGTAACGGCTTGTCAATCTTTCCTTATACAGCGGGTAAACGAACCAAGCAGTGGAGGTTATGGAATACAGATACCCTACTAGCAGGTTAGTCCAAATTTACTCAGGAGGAAGCTGAACATACTGAGCCATGTATAAATTGGTGTCTGGGTCTAAATACATATCCTCTCCAACTGTTGCAGCTTCCTCAGGGGTGAGAAAAATATTAATAGCTGTGTTACGGAATCAGCCATAAAGAAAAGAAAAATGATCTGGGTCAGACGCACACCCGATGAGTTCATCCCATGCCTGGTCCATGCTTGGCGTTGGCGTACCAACGTAATTAGGCTCAACAAGTGGGCGATAAATTTGATGACTTTCGTTATATTTCAAAGTCGAATCGAAGAAAACATCTATATTTGTAGATGGTAAAGAGCCGCCGACCAGTGGTTCTAGCTCCTGGTTAGGCTAAGAAAGAATTTTGCCGGCATGTCTTACTAACGAAACTCATATCGCTTCCAAAACGACGCGGGTTCCTGCGGCGACATGCAATTGGAGTCCTTGACCAGCAGACAAAAGAGCAAGACCGCTGTGATGAGCCATGAGGTGGTGATAGGGGCCCAGGCAATTACCTTCGATCTTTGCTCGCGCCACCCAGACTTTGGGGAGGGAATGTAAACAACCCTCGTGATCGAGTCAATACTCGACCTAGGCAAGTATTCTGCCTTACTATCCATCTTTTTGACGCTGACCCAGCAAAAATTTGCGCTCGATCGATGTAGGCTAGAATGAATGTCAAAGCTTGTGTTGTTTAAGATTGCGATGGAATGCCAAACAGTAAAGGGGCATGATCACTCAAAAGAATTGAATAGATTGATGAACTCTAGGAAATATTGAAAAGAAACATGTAGGTCTGTGGTGCGGTCCGGAGAAATTAATTCCACTATGCAGCTCTAGCACCATGGGTGGATGGCTGATGCATCACGTAAGGCCATATCTACAATAGGCTGTCTTACGTTTTCTGAACACAGCTCAAGAATTTAGTCCTTTAATTTCATGGAGGCAATACACGTTATGCTAAGATAGTATATGACTATAACAAAGCAACAATTACGGAAACCGGCTTCTTATTCTTATTAAGCGCCTGAAAGAATCTGTTCTATGATGCTTACTCCTTTTCTGTATCAGTCGACATTGAATTGAGTGGTGAAATCTTGGAAACAGCACGATGACCTAAGGAGAGCATTAATTATCGGCTAATAGTTAGAATGTTGCAATTTTGGGCCTAAAGAAGTGGTATTTTCAACGGTGATACTAGGGCCTCTATGAATTAAAATGCATTGCGTTAGTTGAGTGATATATTTCACCCCTCATGACGTGAGGTTGATCAGTTATCACTACGCATTATGTACCTGATAAATTGCGACACTTAAAGTCTCGTTTCTCCGGAGACCAGAGTCGAGAAACAGAGTCTCTGCACGAGATAAGCCGATTGATATAATTACACCGGATCTGTTATAGCTACTAACTTTCTACCCCTGATTGATGACCCGGTGTGAACGAGTCACATTCTTTTATCTTTGGCTACGTTAGTGATACTTTTCTTTTTTTCATATCTTCGCCAGATAATCCGATATCGTTTGACATTTTCTATGCGCACAGAGCTTTCATTGATCAAATAGCAGGCCATGTCGTCCTTGGGAAATCGTATTTTGGGTAATGCGAAGGATTATATACCTATTCAAGCTGATACTGTCCTGACCGAAAATGATGGTGACAATGAAAAGATACAGCTGATCTGAATCCGACAACAATCACTCATGTCTCGGCTCTTGACGCTCGCCTTCTTACTACTTATCGTGGTCGTGGTTGTGGTATCGGGCCTATCGGTGTCTCAACACACAAAGGAGGTTCAGTGGCTAAAGTTGCATAATAGTATGAACCCTTGTGGAAATTCGACCTCTGAGGCTCTATCTCTCAAATGCTCCTTTGATCACTTGATGTGGTCTTGGTATCCTGAACATTGTCCTCATTACACCAACGGGTTGTTCCGGAGGGAGAACTTTTCCTATTACGAGAGCCTCAAAAGTACCCAACCCCTCGACGACGATGGTATATTCAGAATAGTAGACCGCCAGGGGGGAGTCTGGGTTGAAAACAGAGAACATCTCACGCACTGTGTTTACCTACTCCTTGCTCAGGGACAGATCATCAGGGACGCGACCAGCTACGTGCCCAGGCTCGTGGAGTACGGACACCTGGAACATTGTGTAGATGCAATACTGGAGACTCTCCGGAAGGATGAAGGATGGTATCGAAGGGATTCATTTGTAGGGGAGATACATTATGATCAGACTTGCTAAGTATAATTCTATCCGAACCCTAGGCCTAGCTTTCCAGTAGCTATAGCCGTGGGCGTAGCCTTTCTAAGCTCACCCATGTTTTCCTAACCTTATATTTCCTTTATTGCTCTCCCTTTTAGGCTGGCTTAATGCTAGTAGTATAAAATAGATAGCCCTAAGATAAAGAAAAGAAAAGAAGAAGAAACTAAAAGCATTAATAGAGCCATTTATTTAATAAAAGTAAAACCAATAGGTAAGTGCAATAACTAAAGGCAGGTTCCACTAAACGCTTACTAATATACCTAGACAATATATAAGGGGCTTAAGTTACTAATCTTCCCCATTTGCATTTAATGTATTCATTAACATTATCTTAACTTCTCACATACCTGTTCTAAATAAAATCCCTGCCTCTTTGCTAACTCAGTCACCCGCTCTAAGATTGTTCAGTAGCGCACCAGTGTTAAGTATGGAATCAGACTCTATACCGCCCAAACTAAATACATCCTGCGTGCAGTGTCGGAAGTCAAAGGTCAAATGCACGGGGGGGAATCCATGCAAACGCTGTGAATTGTCACAAACCCCTTCAGCATGCACCTACAATGCCTCACGCAGGCGCGGGAAGCGTAAAGCTGATGACAGCAACATAAAGTGGCACGTGCAAAAGACAGGCGACTCGAGTCAAGACGTATTGTTTGACGCTGGAATCAACCTCACTGAGCCATTGCAATTGGGTCTCGTGGGGAAGGATGGGGAGGATGAAAATAGCTGGATTGGAGCTGATAACTCGGGACACAACGTTTGTCTACCCCACAGGCATCCGAGTATTGACGAAACTGCTAACAGTCTATAGATAGCTGTCGCCTTCCCAGATCCATCCATGCCGCTGGGATCTTACAATGTTGCTCAGGCGGCGTCTCCCGGCTTGACAGAGATCTTAAATTCCTTAGAATCATCCAGCTTACCGCCCGGGGCTTTTCTTGGAGATATTGGCATATGCTCAGAGTCATGTTTCATATCCGTTCATTCTATCACCAATCAACTTTCGTCTGTGAGAAATTCGAAGTGCGCTGTACAGCTGGATAAGATCTTTTGTCTCATAAGCGATTCCATCTACCAAGCAGCAAAGTATCTCGCGTGCGAACATTGCGATTCAGGCTGTTCTCGCCTCATGACGCTATCATTTCTGCATCAGTGGCAGATAAATATTCTTTTGGACGTCACGAACAATCCTACAATATTGTTTGGAGATAAAATCCCTGAATTGAAATTTGGTGAGTACAAGGCTTCCGCTGAAGACGACGTAGCTTTCAAGCGGATAGTACTTTTGAGATTCGCCCGCGATATCAAACTCTCCTTGAATCGTTTCCACCACGGAGCTAAGGATTTTGAGGAACGATATATTGCAGGGAATTTAGAGCTCGGAGAAGCTGGCAAACTCAATCTGGAATGGTTATTAAAGGTGGCTGTCAGCTTGAAAAGGCAGGCCGAGTTTATTACAATCGCTGAAGAAAAACGAGACTAGGCTACCCGAAGGCAAAATTTGCATGAAAACGCTCCAAGCCATCAGAATCTGTAACTCATGTGGTATCATGTTCAAAAGCCGAATGTCTCTTCTCTCCTCAATCAAAAGACAGAGTATATTTCTTTCGCAGAGCTTCCCCAAATTTCCAAAAAAGTAACGGGGCGACAGAGAGTACTATGGCCACAAACCCGAGTACGGAATTACCCTGTATGCTTTATTATTATAAGGACAAGGAAGAATTAGTGAAGACTAACCCAGCCATAGCCAAGCGTTTCGTATAGAGGCAAACCAGCCATGGGTAAAATTCCTCCCACGATGCTGCGCACAATGCTTGTCGCTGCGAGCGCGCTAGCAGCAACAGCTGTAAAAGCATCGATCATGTATATTTGTGTAGGCAGCTAGATTTCATTAGTACTGTGCGTGGATCGTGAGTTTGTGAAGAATGAGTTTTACTGACAAATGTGAATATAAGTCCTGCCCCAATGAATCCCGAGGACACGATGGGAACCAGCCAATAGACTTTGTATTCGGTGGTCCATCCGTACACAAACAAGCCTACTGGAAGTAGTGGAATTCCGAGCACGATAGGTAATAATCGGTATCTGCCATGCATGTTAATTATTGCCATCCAGCTCTTGGCACGTTTGATACGCACTCTGGTTTCGATTTCCCATATCTCTGAGTCAATCTTTCTTGTAGCCAGTCGCTAAGCCACGATAGTACAACAAGTGCCAATAACTGACCGACCCCCATTCCAAGAAAAGCCAATCCTAGCGTCTCGGTGCTAAAACCGTACTGTTGTGGGAAAACGGTTGAGAATGTTGTGAAGAGCAGGTATAAATAACCGTAAATTAGTGCGAGGTATAGAGAAAGACCTGCCACTATGGGGCTCTGAGTCAACATTCTGATGGGTCTAATCAGCGATCGCATCAGAAGTTTTTTTCTTTCAAGTGCATATATGGCTGGCATGTCTGTCGAACAAGTTTCCCCGGCCCTTTTTCTTTTGAATTGAATTGTCGGTGCATGGCTTTCAGACAGAAAGAGTAGCGTCACAATGGTCATTACACCCTTCTAAGATACTGATTAGCACCCTAGACCAACACGGCGGACTACAATGTCATCATACCACAATTGCCATGAGCCAAAATACCCAGCGCCAGCCAAGAGCATGTGCAACAAAACCGCCAGTCACAGGCCTAAACACTAATCGTTAATTTATCATCCAATTATTTTGGTACGGCACATACCCTAAAACAGGTCCCAGGAAGATGCCTGTAAAAAAGATAGACATAACCGTTCCTCTTCTGTTGAACGATACTTGGTCGGCGATGCTGCCACCGCCAATATTCATCGGCCCAGCCCCGAAGCTACCTGCGATGAATCGGAAGACAATAAATGAGGCGATATTCGGGGCACTGGCGCTAGCGATCGAGAAAGCGAGCGTAGCCACATTGCAGACATTAAGCACCAACCTCCTTCCATAGAGCTCTGATAACGGTGACAAGAGGACGGGACCAAACGCAAATCCTAGAACGAATATAGATACGACGAGTGAGGTTATCAAATGATTCGTTTCGTGAAAGTCTTTCTGCAGAAGAGGAACGCCAGGCACAATGATGGAAGACTCAAGGGGTCTATAGAGTGATCAGCATGTAATCGAATGCATCAAGAGATCAGTTTCTTATACGTGATAAACGCCAGAAGAGATACAATTCCTAAATTGGCTGTTTTCTTTGCTCTGGTCCAGTTCTGTGGATTTTCCGGATGCTCGTTCCAAGCGGTATTTCCTTCGCTTTGATGGCTTTCAATCGCAGATTTAACACTCATTGTGATGGTTAGGGCAATACAGATAATCAACAAAGTCTCATTGAGAAGAGTTGTTTGCATAAATAGACTACATGTTATATTCGGCCTCGCGCGCGAAGTGTCATTCACGTCGGCTTTTCTTAAAATGCCGATTTTGGATTAGCAGCGTCTCGCTCTGCGAGAATTGCCCTTTTCAGTAACTCGGTAAGCGACGTTCATCCCAGCCCCCTATTGACCCGGACCGCCATTCAGACTGGGAACTTTGACGATGGTGAGCTTACAAATGCGCTTTTAAATACCGAGAGAAGCTACGATGTAATAGCATATAAAAGTATCTTCAACTCGGACATGAACGCTGTACCGGTTCTGCTTTAGCATAAATCCTGATATGCTGCGAAGCGAGCTAACTAAGCGTTAAAGAGCTCGACAATAGCTTTGGCACAGCACTTTTAACAAGACGACCTGACTGAACCGCATACCCTCTCTATAAAAATGTCCTCCATCACAGAAACTATCACCCTTAATGATGGAACAAACATCCGCGTCAAGCTACTAGGCGACAAACATACAGATAGACCGCTGTTAATAGCTCTTCATGGGGCGCCCGGACTTTCGAGCCTCAATGAGCCACTCGCTTCATTTGCCTTTCTCGCAGACAGGCTGCGCGTACTCGTCTACGATGCAAGAGGGAGCGGAAAGAGTGATTCTCAGGGCCCACTAGCAGATGAGCAGTGGATTTCCGATCTGGATGAGATCAGGTAAGGCATTAACTCCATATCTCAAACTGTTGAGCAGTGTCTGACAAGACATTATAGAGCGTGGGCCGGTGTTGAGACATTCATACTTGCAGGAGGTTCATATGGCGGCTTTCTTGCTCTCGGATACGCCTTGACATATCCTAACCGACTTTCAGGTCTAATCTTGCGCAACACTTGGGCCTGCGGATTCAAAGGAAGCTTACGTATCCTGAAAAATATTTGTACTTCGCCACGAATCCGTCCTGACCTCGATCGTCAGGTAAGGTTGTGGTCTGGCAATGTCCGAGACAATGAAGATGGCGCAAGAGGGTTGGAAGAAATTCTTGCTATATACACGCCGGCAAAGGAAAACAACGAAGAAGAGGGCCCTGGAAATTTTGAGGGTGCAGGAAATGACTTCGAGATGCGCTGGGAGGTGCATAATGCTGCTTGGTCCTTAAGCGTGCCTCGGTTCGATGTCCGCAATAAGCTTCATCAAATTGAAACACCCACTTTGATAATCGCTGGACGTCACGATCCCATCTGTCCTGTAGAGGATTCAGAGGAGATTCACCAAGGAATACCTGAGAGCGACCTGGTAATTTTCGAAAAATCTGGTCATAACCCTTCAGCTGATGAGCCACTCGCCATTCAGAAAGCCCTGAAGAGTTTTCTTGGTAAAGTCTTTGAGAATATATAGAAGTCAAAAGACTATAACACTACATCTATATAGTAGTATTGGAAAATATAGGTAATTCTCAAGTTTGATTCAAGTGTATCCTACTTAAATAGAAACCAACAACGCACAGTCAGCTGGAATCCTAAACCATTCTTCTATTGACCCCCCTGTCTCTAATATATTTGCAGCCTCGGCTGCTAGAGGATCATTGTATTTAGTACTCAATATTTTTAGTATGCTAATAGCATCCAATCGCACGAATGCTGGCGCAAACTCTAAGGAGCCAATCGACAAAAGTGGCCAGATAAGAAAACGGACTGAATGAGCCAAAGGCGCCCCAGAAACCTCAAGAGAGGATGGAACCGATGATATTATATCATCAATCATCTTCTCAATACTTCGAGCAGCGGTATCAGGTAATTTTTGCCAGCTTTCCCATAGAGAGTCTCTCTGCTCAGGCTCGTCCCCGTCTGCAAGGCAAGCATATGCATGACAGACCCACTCATTGACGAACAATCGTAGCATACGAAGCACGTTCCACCGCCGCGTATCCAGAGAGGAGTGATGTTGGTGCCTTGGCTTATTATAAGAACCCAATGCGCCGTTGGTATGTTCTAAGCCTTGTTCAACTATGCTGTAAGGCGATGTAAGGAAGAGTTGTTCCATAAGGTGTGTCAACTCATTGTCAAGATCAAGAGACTGGACAATGCATTCTACTGGAGGTAAAGTATGAAGGCGCGCCTTGATAGCCACAAATCTATCCAGCAGCGGTCCTAAATGGTGGCTGAGTGTAGATTTATTCAGCACGGTTGAAGCGTATTCTTGCAATCGGATCAAAGCGAGAGGTACCGGTGTCGAACGCTGAGCACAGCTAGTCCGAATATTCGTAGTCGCGTGTATAAAGAGATGTCTCCCAAGCGGACTATCCAGCTGTGTTTTGCCCCTGAGTGTGAGAAGCGTGGTGGTACCCTGGATATGTGCTGTCCAATTGGTTGCTGACCTCTGTTCACCGAACATGACTCCTTCAAAAGCACTAAGAAAAAGAACACATAGCAGCGTATAATCCAGTGTAGTGTTTTTCACGCTGCTTAGGGCATTATTTATAAGCACCAGCGCCTGGGTGTAGCAACTACGAGCTGCTATGAGCATACCTGGTTGTTTACAGTCCAATGATAGTGCGGCCAAAGACAAAGCTTGCATCGAAAGCTCAAGAGGGCTACCCTCTTTAACCAGTTCACCCCAGTACTTGGGGATATAGTGAAAAGCACTCGATGGACTAAACAATACCATGAAATAGCTTGTAGCCAGATCCTCAAGATGAGTAAGCATAGCGGCTGAGGGCACGGGGGTTGTCGCACTGCTCGAAGTCCATAGGTGCTCATCCGCAGTTGGATTTGTGGCCGTATCTCTTAAGACAGGCACTTTAACAATCTCAGAGATACTGTGTTCGCCTACGGATTTCTGAGGTGTCCGATTTGAAATTCTTCTCTTCTGCTCCTTTTGTATTACCATGGTTGTCTGGTTTCGGATGGCGAGTGATTTGGTATCTCGGTAGCCATGGCAAGCAATCCCGAGATTAATGCATGTGCTACACATTGGACGTACAAGATTGCACTAGAAACAACTGATGTTAGCTACGAAAGCATCCCCCTAATAGGATGATTCTAGATGTAAATGCAGGCGCTCCACTTACTTTTCGTCTCTTTACTCTGCAAGGCTTACAAGCCTCGGAGATCTTCCCGCAGAATACCATCACCCTAGCGCAGCAGCTAAGCACCGCTACTAATCACTGAGAGGGTTGAAGCCAATGATAAAAAGATTATGAGCTTTTACAGAATCAAGACGTCAACAATTGTTAGCTTATTTGGACAAGGTGCTGGATATATAATAGGCATGCAGTTGGACTGGTGGATCCGGATGTCCGGGATGGTTAGATTTTAGCATCGAGAAGCATGCCTTAACTATCCTAGTGGCATTAGTAGTGGGGACAATATTAGTCTATCCCCCTACGCAACTAGATTTGGAACCCGATAAATTGGAACCCTGTTATAAACCGAAACCGGGGTGAATGTCAACACTTGTGATATATTTACTAATTCTATCGTACGCAAGGAGCTTACGTAGTTTTCCGGCATAATAGACCGGAGATAACCGTTAGCGCACAGACTTATAGGCCGCGTATTCAATGCTTCAGACCTGAGTACTAAGCATTAAGTACTGTTAACTGTAGGATACACCTATATATGTTGCTAAGATCCTGATAATTTTACCTTAGTTGTCTTATTACTCTACATCCTTCTTATATTCACAATGCGACCGGGCTCATTTTTCGCTATATTTAGTCTTTCATCTCTCTCCACAGCTGCGCCATCTGTTCGTCTTCTCAATGGCACGTTAACTGGCTCTCAGTGTGCCTATTCAGAAACCAACTTCTATCTCGCCATTCCGTACGCAAGGCCACCAATAGGAGAATTTCGGTTTACCGCTCCTAGTATATTCAACGCCAAGTACGGGAAAGATGGCAGTCTTAATGCCACTTTGCCTGCTGCAAGCTGTCCTCAGTTTGGATCGTCTTCTTTTGCAGAATCAGGAGTGCAGTCAGAAGATTGGTATTTTATGATCCTATATTTGGTGCTTCTTAGTCAAGATTGTACTAACAAAACTCTCTTAGTTTGACTTTGGATGTATATGTGCCTCCTCGTATATCAATTCAATCAAAATTACCTGTGAAGGTGTGGCTCTATGGTGGATTTAATGAAGCAGGAGGCATTTCGGATGCAACATACAACGGGTGCTTCTCTGCTAAAGACTCAATTGTTGTGACAGTCAACTACCGAGTTGGGCCACTCGGCTACCTGTCAGTCAAGAAAGCCGGCCTGATGGGTAATTATGGACTACAAGATCAACTCCTTGCATTAAAATGGGTACAATCCAATATATATGCTTTTGGGGGTGATCCAAAGAAGGTCTTGCTATTCGGCCAATCTGCAGGAGCACTCGACACTTACGCTCTTGGCACGATCAGAGAGATTGAATCAATTATATCTGCTGCTGCTATTCAGTCCGGTGGTAGCCGAACTTTGCCAACAATTGACGACGCTGAAAACTTTACTTCAAAGTTTGTTGAAATGCTCAATTGTACTACCTTTGACGCACAATGCATCAGAGAAGTACCCCTTGCACAACTAAACGAAGCGTTTGCCTCATTAGTTTCGTCAAGACCAAATGTGCCTGCTCTTGATACAAACCGACAAAACAATGGTTTCGGGTACGGGTGGGGCCCAGTGGTCGATGGAACATTCCTTGAAGAACAACCTGAAAAGATTGGTATGCGAGTGCCTAGTATTATCGGCAATAATGCGAACGATGGGGCGCTATTCGTGCTTGCTCAATACGGGGCAGCACTGACTAATATTACCGAGTCGCAGTATCAAGAATTTCTCTTGTACAGCTTCGGAAGACTTGCTTCTAACGTCAGTATCAGCTATCCACTGTCCAAGTATAACTCCAGCGTTATTTCACCCGAGTTCTCCGCAATGTCAGATATCATAACGGACTACGGATACAAGTGCCCAACGTACCGGGCACTGAAAGCTACAGAAGCCAGAGGTGTAAACGTTTGGGCCTACAACTTCAATCATACACCCACTTGTTCATGGTATCAAGCTATTCCCAACGATCCTGAGATACTGCAGCTACTAGGACCAACCCATACCGCGGAAATCCCATACGTCTTCAGTCTCACGAATCATCTACCACTGAGTGGATCGCCTAGCAGCACGAGCGGCAATGGAAACTGTAGCTTTGATCATGCCGAAATTGCTATATCACAGTTTATGGAACGCGCTTGGACAGCCTTGGCCAAAGATAAAAGACCTGCCCTAACACTTGTTTGGCCAAAATGGAACAGGAACTCTTACACAGGTATTCATATTGAAAACCTGATTGAGATCTCTGAACTGGACTATAGTAATTGCGCTTTCTGGGATAAGATTAGTAATAGAATGTGAGAGGGCATATAGAATAGTAAACTATGTATGAAATAGTCATTAATATAAAGGACTTCTAAGGGATAAACTTAAAGTAAAGATGCTTATAACTAAGCCCACAGCTCACTTAGCAACATCCCAGAGGTGGATGCGCTATAGAAATATTAGGCAAAGCGCTAGTATCGACGACTCAGAGGTCCTCGACACCCTTGACTCAAAGCTGACGGTTCAATGCGATCCCATGATCTGTTGTTTCTATGCTTCCATGCTCGTCGATAAGGGCGGGATTGTAAGGTGTTTGTGTGTTGTCCCGAGAATCAGCCTCTATATCCGACCAAGATGTGTTGGACACGATGCGAAGCTCTACTGACTGCATATTACCTGTATACCTTGACTCAATGATAGCCAGGCAGAGTTCTACTGAAGAGCACAGTATTCTATATAGATGATCTGAGTCATTTTATCTTTCGCGACGCAATCGGTTGAGCCCATCATCATATTCAGTGGGCGTACTGTAACCTTGGACAGGTAGAGGACTGAGTGTGGATAGCTCATTCCTACATTTTACATCTGCAATTTTATTCTTACTTATCACCGGCAATATAGCGAATTGGGGGGGAACTTGAAAGAACAAACGATGATCAAAGGCACTGGGCTTGTACTTCACAATCATGCGCAAAGCAATCTTTTAATTGTATCTAGATAAGTTGATGTTGAATTGAGAAGAGAGAGTAGTTGACTAGGGGAGTGGAAATAAGAAAGATGTCCTCAAGCTTGAGATCAACTGACCCATTCACTCACTACTTCTGAGCGCTTCCTCATCCTTACGCATGCCAAGAAGTACCCAGCTCCGACTGTAATTTTCAAATTGCTTTGCTTTCTCTCCTGTCTTGTCATCCATCAAGGCCTGAACTGGGTGTATTTCAGGTACATTCATCCCTTTGGCTACACTAGGACGGTCTAGAAGCCTGCGATACCACTCCGAAACGGCGGGGAATTCATTAAGGTCTACTCCTGCCCAGCCTGAGGCTGCGACCATGCTCCAATAAACAATATCAACAATCGTAAACTTAGACAGGACATAGCCACTCTTGCTGGAGGTCAATTGTGTTTCCAGAACCTTGTAAAGACGACGCGTCTCGTTCGTGTAGCGGTTGATAGCATATGGGATCTTCTCCGGCACATGACGGTTGAAATGTGTCATTTGGCCCTGCATAGGACCAAGCCCACCAATCTGGTGGAATAGCTAACCTGGTTAGTATCTCAAAGCCATATAATAACTCTCGTTGTGGATCGCTCGAGACAGATTCCGGAGTTACTCACCCAGTTAAAGAGCTCGTAATTCTCTTTAGTCTTGGGAGGATACCATAGCTTGAACTCAGGGTCATACTGCTCGACAAGGTATTTCAAAATGCTACCAGATTCCCACACGTGGATCTCTTCATGGTCCAGTGTATCGGTAATGGCTGGAATGCGCCCGTTCGGGTTGATTTCTAGGTACCACGGCTCCTTTTGTGTTCGCTGGACGAAATCATGCTTGAAGATCTCGTACGGTAAGCCCAGCTCTTCCAATGCAATGGAGATCTTGATGCCGTTAGGAGTTTGTGTGGTGTAAAGTTTAATTGGCTTGACGGGAATTTGCGATGATTGGGAAGCCATTTTCCAGTATAATCTTTCTCGGTTAACAAGGTACGAATTGACAATGGCCGGGAGGAGGTAACTTACTGATTTATATATGTACAGCCAAATGATAGCTTAAGGGCAATCCAAATTTTATTAAACACCCTACCCAATTATCGCTATTTACATTCCATACTATTTGTCATCTAGCGTCCGTAACCTGTTTGCTTTAGCAATCGCAACAGCGTTCTAAAATAATGATTATAAATTATTATCAAATCTGGTATATTAGCATTTCAGCGGCCTTTGGGCATACATGTAAATCCCTTTTTGCGGCTTCTTCTAGGGCCAGGCATTGGTTAACTGGCTTACTGTTTACTTAGTACTAGAAGAAACCGGTAAGGGCAATATAACCTCCAAGTCCAATAACTCAGCATTATACAAGCATTTACCTTACCTAATACAGTAAGCATTTCGACGAGCAAGATTACTAATGTATAGCACCACAAAAGACTAGACTATTTGTGTCTCAGTACTTGGAGCTTTGTTAACCCAACGGTTTCTGCATTTCTGGGCCCAAGAAGCGGATTGTCACTGAAATCAACGCCGTTGAATTAATTGCCCTCTTCAAGCTCACTAACTGCTAAGGCAGCGTTAGCTACTACACTGTGCCATATTCCTTCAATATTTTGATTAAACGAACGAAAAATATGTCTAGGAAACATATATTTAGCGGGTTGCACTGGCTTATATCAATGCTGTACTTTGGCCAACCGTTGAATGATTTGTTATTGGTCTGTCTTTGCTTCCAATATAATCAAGTCATGCGACGTACACTAATCATTGAAGTTGCATGATTTCTCCTTCTTGCGTTTGCATAATACTTCAAGTAGTTTCTATTTCACTGCTTTACAACTCTACCTGCTACGGTTTCAAAGTTGTTTTCACAATCCTTGAACTTGCAATTTCTTTTCCAGCCGACATTCGAGATTCCACTGGCTACCCTGCAGTGGACAGACAAAATGTGCGGTGCGATAATAACTGGACGTCATGCCATCGCGGCATTGTAAATTAGTGGCTTATGTGTGTACAAAAATGTTCGCCTCATTCTATTTCTTCTTCCATGGCTGTTTTGGAGGATGGTGCTGACCTCAGACGGACAACTGGAGAGACTCGCAACCCTGGAATACACCGAGAGACCCCACCAAGCCCATATCGCCCAAACGGAAGAGACACACCTTGTGCTAATGCCGCTAATGCAAGGAGATGACGCTAATGCAAGGAGATGACGCTAATGCAAGGAGATGACGCTGATGCAAAGAGATGACGCTAGTGAAGCAAAGGGATGATGCCCCATCAAATTGGATGAAAGTTAGATATTCGATATATCGTTGGGTTAAGTGGCCACAGAGCTCAGTGAGATGTGCCTTTTTATACCGAGGTTGGTGTAATGTCTTTGCATCGCTACAGTTCGGAATTAGAATGTCTTTGAAATAAGTATAAGAAGACCATTTGCTGCCCATAATGAAAACTGAAAACTGCAACCTCCATGCAATTTCTTGCATTGTCTTGTTTCTCCTCAAGGAATTAACAAGTACTTTCGTGCCATATCGCATCGCACATCACCCACATCATCTATAGTTTTCTTGCGTCGAGCGACGCCAAAGAGAGAGGTCCAAGATGCCTGGATTTAGAGATAATTTCCCACCAAAACCTCAGTTTACCGACAAGTCCATCAGCGGCCAAGCTGGAAAGGTTCGTCATTATATCGCATATCTCGGCTGGAGAGCCTGACTGCTTACAACCTTCAGGTATTTTTGGTGACGGGATGTTCCAGTGGAGTTGGTAAAGAGCTGGCAAGGATCCTCTATTCCTATGATGCAAAGGTCTACATCACCGCCCGATCCATCACGAGAGCCAACGCGGCAATAGAAGAGATCAAGGCTCTACACCCAAAATCGCGGGGAGAACTCATCCCTCTACATCTCGATCTTGACGATCTAGCTTCCGTCAAGAAGTCGGCCGATGACTTTCTTAGCCGAGAAAACAAGTTGGATGTACTGTGGAATAATGCTGGCGTCATGGTTCCTCCCACTGGCTCGAAGACAAAGCAAGGCTACGAGGAGCAGCTAGGCGCCAACTGCCTGGCAACTTTTCTCTTCACAATGCTTCTTACTCCTCTACTAGTTAACACGGCAAAGACTGCTGCTCCCGACTCTGTTCGCGTGGTCTGGGTTTCGTCATCAACGACTGACCGCTCTCCACCCGGCGGCATAGATTTCGATAACCTGGATTATAAGAAGAAAGACCCGGGCAAGTGGGCCAAATACGGAATTAGCAAGGCCGGGCTCTACTACTACGCAACGCAGTATGCGAAACTATACAAACCTGATGGCATCACTAGCGTCTCTCTGCATCCAGGAAATTTAAAGACTGAGCTCCAGCGCCATGTCTCTGCACTGCAGATGGTTATCATCAACATGATGGTATATCCGCCGGTTAATGGCGCCTACACGGAGCTGTTTGCTGGCCTATCGCCCGATGTGACCTTGGAGAAGAGCGGTGCTTGGATCCAGCCTTGGGGTCGCTTCGGTACGCAGCGACCTGATTTGGTGCAAGGCTCAAAATCCAAAGCCGAGGGCGGAACTGGCATCGCAGAAAGGTTTTGGGAATGGTCAGAAGAGCAAGTCAAGCCTTATACTTGAGGCTAGATATGCTTTTCCGCGAGACATTGTTTTGTAGCACACTGTTTGAGAAGAATATATAGTTATTAGATCTGTTTAACATCATGTACAACTGAGCGAAGGATACATTGCAAAGACTTCAAATCTGGGAAGGTCAACGGAAAAATAGTCAAGCACCTGTAAACAATGAAGCAGGCCACACACACCTACAAAAAGTCTTGCCACCCCCGGTCGTTGCTACAGAGGCGACCAGATGACTATGAAATCTCGAAGACAAGCGGCTCGTCTCCCCTCTGCGCTCTCCAATAGTTTGTCGCTGCCATGGCCTCCCAGCAGCCTTTGAGTAGAAACCCCCACTTCTTCAAGAAACCATTAGTCATCTCCCAGCCGCTGACATCCCACGGATTTCCCCAGACCAAGACTCCAGTCAACTCGATAGTGTTTCTTCCTTGGCGAGGATTCCCAAGCATATCGCCACATATATCTTCGGCGCAGAACATGTCCATGGTACGAATAGCGTTATCACGCATAGTGGCGTCAGGAAGAAGATCAATCCACGTATCATGTGGCACAAATTGCTGGAGCGCGGTTGGTGCCAGTGAAGGCGGCAGTACCGGCGGAAGATTAAAGAGCGGTGCATTGCGCAGAGCATCGGCAATGTTGCACTCACGCGGGATGAGATGCGCTACATCTAGAAGCGTCAAGTTTGTTAACGTGGCGCGAAACGCATTGAATTGCACGAGGGGAATTAGATGGTCAGAAGATAGTGGCATCACTGTACTCCCGTCCAGGCGAAATGGCGTGAATGAAGGCGCAGTAGCAATTACGCATTTTGGAGATGATCCCGAGGCACCAGAAGCGTGGCGCGTGCGATGAACGCATCGCCAGGTAAACCCCAGACTCTCAAGATTATGAGTAATCGTCTGCTCTACTGCTGAGGAGGACGAGAGAAGATGGGCTCCGGGTTGAGCCGTTTGCAGGGCCGATTTGTCTTGTAAAAGTCTTCTCTTTCCTGTTCTCTGTGAGCTTGACGCGCTGGTAATAGGATGAAGACTGGCTACCCACTGTATGATCGCGAATTTAGACGATACTGTCTCTTGCGCCTGGCTGCCCTGTCCATTAACCCGGTCCAGTTGTCGTCTTGATCCCTTGCCTGATGTCGATTCTTTATTAGCCCGGCAATTTGGCCCTGTCTGATTGATTTGACTATTACCTCAGCCAGCTGGTGCATGGGACACAGTTCAATTCGGAATTCCATCAATGCCAAATGCCCCGGTAGATAGTTATTAAAGGGCATAGATTTAAAAGATTACTTGAAAGTTAGAGGTATTATAACCTAATACTTATAGTTGCAACTGCAGGCCTACAGGGTTAGCAAAACCGGATTAATTATAATCCAGCAGCTAATTATACTTTGGAAACCTGTCTTATAGAGTTGGGTTAGAGAGCTATGTCTCCAGAGACATAGCTTGTAAGCCAAGTCTCTGTGGATATAGCTCGTAAGCCAAGTCTCTGTAGATATAGCTTATAAGCCAAGTCTTTGAAGACATATAGTAAAGAAACAAAAGTAATAAATAAATCCTATTAAGACTAAAATAATCCAGTTCCTATATCCTACTTAGTCCAGATCCGTGAAAAGACAACCCTTTTATTGTAGGTATTAGCACCTTTCCAAATTATAAGCGGCCTTCATGTGAAAACCATCTTCATCGTACCCCTTTGGATCCTTGATTTTGTAAACAAAATGAAAGAGCTGCAGAATTTTAGTCATAGTAACCTCTTGGCTACTATAAGCTTGTTGGAACAGATCCAGGCGACTTGGGCGATTTTCTATTTGTAGAAGCTCGGTGAAACTAAACGAATAGTTTGATGTTACACTAGAATAGCTTCAGGCATTAATAAAAATGAGTACAGCAATCTTGCATATGGTCTTACAGTACTAGGCTATTTAGCCAGGGCAATATATGAACATCTGAAGTCAATTACAGTAATATACATCTCTAAATAGCAAAGCATAAGGTACTATAAATTCCAACAGCCCGTATTGGAGAGTCATAAATATTACTCAAATCAAAGGGAAAACATAACAATTTATTTTGCAATGTTCCCCTATAGTATACGAGCACTTATCTGCATCATGCACCTGCTGAGGATGATAATCTGTCAAGTTCGGATTGAATTCCATATCCATCAGCATCCAGCTCCCGTCATCGCATACGTTCTCGGGAAGCCATCGGAAGGGCGTCTCTACTCCGTTGCTACATAATGTAGGGTCTAAAGCAATATTTACACGACCGAGGAAGGGTCCATTGCCGAGCGAAGCTTCACGTTGATAAGCCAGGGCTGCCGTGTCTTGCTCCAAGTTTTCGGGACAGAGCAGGGATGGTGGTGCATGGCCGAAAGAACTATGCCGGCTTTGATCGCGCGAATCATGAAAAATGGGCTGCTCTGGAAGAGATGATAGCAAAGTCTCTTCTCCACCTCCTTTCATAGCGGCTGCAATAGGCAGTGTTTTTCTCTCAGTGACCGTTGCCGGAGGCCCCATGAAACTGCCGAGAGCCTGGCCCTTCTGTTGTCGGCGGCGCTCTATTTTTTTTGGTATTTGGCCCTGTAGCAACTGGCTTATAATCAGGGCGCATCGGCTGGCGGAAGGCGTGCTGCCTGCTTGGCGAAGGATTTCCATGCCGAAATCAAGGCGTGCCCTTGACTCATGCGCCAAAGTCGTGTCGCCGCCAACGTCTTGGCATTCTTTCAGATCCCGGACGTTGATAGTGCAGGCCACAAACATGGTATATGTCTGAAGCCAAGTGATGCAGCGAAATCCAAAACATCGAACATGCATCGTAAACAGCATATCAGTTGCCCGCGCTGCTTCGGTGCATCGCTCCTTTGCCGCTGCGGATAGCGCTCGATATGGACGGCAAAGCAGAATCACAGTGGATCCTGTGTGGGCGCGAGTAAAGTGTGTCGAGCACATCCTGGATGATTGTATAAAGTTCTCAATACGCAGCAAATCTTGTACTGCTGAGAGCACGATGCCGAACAAGACTCTCGAATAAAGATCCCTGGACCAGAACGGGCTGCCAAATTTTGTCGTCGGCATCCCGTCCGTCTAGAAGACTGTCCGCAGTGGGCAACTCGATGGCTTCCAACATAGTCGGGGCTCGCCCTAGACACAAGCTCATAGTCTTGTCTTGTCCCATGAGTAGCAACTCCAGAACATCTGTTGCCGCAGCGCGAGATCTTCGTCTGAGAACTGCGATGACAGCGGGCCGAGCTTCTTGGGATCTACATGCAAGCCCAAGTCTCTGGCCATACGAAAAGCCATGCCACTATATAGCCAGCCTTGTGACGTCCTCCCGCACGCGCATTCTCGCGCTGAGAAGATTAGCAGGCCCTGGAGCGTGGCGATGGAACTTCCTCGACCAATACCATTGACGAGGAGCCCGAGGACACGCTTTGCAAAGCGCTCGCCGACATCTTTGGCGTCCGGCCGTGGGGAATATCGAGCAGCTTGCGACAATACAAGGCTTAGAAGAAAAGGCGAAACGTACGGGCCAAGAGTATGCAAATCTCCTGGAAACCTGAGTCAGCGGGCACCAAGTGAACTTCAAGCGAGTGTTCAACTGACTAAGAAACACCTTTTTGACTAGACCACAATGCAGATGGTGAGGCCAGCACCAATATGTGGCCAGCAGCTCATGCAGCACAGGAGAAATCTCGGTTAGAAAAGCAGCCATTTCGTTTTGCGCTTCTGGTCTAGTATTTGACCCATATGCAAGGCTGCTATCATCCCATGCTTCGTCTCGGGGGGTCTGTTGTGGATCAATATGATATAGGCTGGTGCGACCATAGAAGTAAACTTGACCATCTATTCCAATGGAAGTTTCTTCTTGAAAATCGGTCGCTTCGAGCCCAGCAAGATACCCAGAAGAGTCGGGGGTTGGCTGGACTAGGTGCTCGTGCCCGCCCCCCTTTCGGCTTTTCAACAACTACTGGACTTGACAGCAGTGAGGATATATCACTTTCATTGGCGGTGCGCAGTTGCTGAAACCGATCTTCGTAAGCTTTCAATTGCCGCTGAAGCGAGACAGCGAATGCAACCGATGGTCTCCTGTCGCATCGCCTATCAGCATTGTGACCACTTTGTGCAAGATATACTAACTTGCCATAGCTGCAGGTTTCATGAGCAGTAACGCAATTTTTGCACACTGGAAAGGATCCATCACACTTGGCCTTGCGTTTCCTGCAGTTGGCACAGGCGAAGCCGTATCTTCTCCCCTGGCTTCGCTGTGGGCTGGACTGTTGCCGTGCCACAGGCGACTGTACGAGTGACGAATCTCTGCGGGTCTCTGTCTCGCACCAAAAGATGATCAAGGTTAGTTATATCGTTATACTGTAGCAAACTTCAAAAGTGGACCATGCAGACTATTTTCTTACCGCGGAGAGATAGTTTTCGAGGAGTTAGATGCTCCAGTTGAGAGTAGCCATGCAAACCATAGTCGTCTTCTTGAGCTACCCTCGTATGTCCGACGGTCGGAAAGATGCCGGCTTGGGCGGAAAGATGCCAGACAAGTGGAGACTCTACTGTATTTAGAAGTTGTCTAATGCCGGGGAAGGGCTGGGCCGAAGCTAGACTAATGACATGCCCAAGGCTGATATCCTCTCTTTCAGACAGATTCACAACCCTTGGAGAAGTGGCAAACTACGTTTTGCTATACCGGGTCGATATTGAGAGGTACAATTATCCCAATTCCCACATTCTTTCAGTTAGTGCAGGCTCTCTTGACACAAGTGTCACACATCCCGAATTTGCAAGTGAACAATGGCGGTATATCACGTTGGTGGGTATTCGCGGATTACGATGATGGTAACATGAATTGACGGAGCTTGTTAGTTCTTTTCAAGCTCAAACCTAATATCAGCAAAGCTCAGCTCGCAGAGTGGTCTGAGCTGGGTGCCGCTATGGTGGGAAAAATACCTGGTATTGATCTCCTCAGGCTCTATTCTTTCAAGAAAAAATGCTGATACCAACAAAGGCTTGTTGAAATGGGATGCCAATCCTCCTTTACCAGTTACCGCTCATCGAGCCCAGGGATATGACATGGGCCTCATCGCAGTCCTAGAACAGCCGGAAGATGTTGTGACGTACGGCAAGCATCCAGCGCATCAACGGTTTGTGTCACAGGCTCCCACTTTAATTCTACTCGGAGGCTGAATTTGAGTAGGGTTCACGAGATTCGCGAAGCGTTGTGTAGTCAGACATTGGCCTACGACTTTGAGTTTTAAGCGGAACGTCTATGATGAAATATAGAATAGTCTTTCTCTCATTCTTGAACATCTAGTTGTTTTCAACAATTTATTATCAAATGGCTATCTTGACCCTAATGAGATATCTTCAATTGTATTCGTGACGGAATGCCCATACAAGATCGCCTAGAGTGACATCCTCCCCAGTATTCCCAGGAAAAACTACATATGGGAGTCCTGGCCATTTTGGACAGCAATCCTCGCTTGGTTCCCAGACTGGTATTCCCGGGGCAACTTGGCCCAGTACCGTAGCTTTCTTAATGCCGAGAGCCTTGGTGGCAATATCACTGCTAGTGATGCCCCCCTGTTCATGTTCAGCCATATCTCCAGAATTAGGTGTAGAATCTCCAAATTTGGTTACCTTAGCAATGACATATCGTGGCTTGGTTTCCAAGAATCTTGTGATGTCGCAAAGCGCCTCGCTAATTGTGTTACCCATGCTTAGACTTTCCGATGGCTCATCACTGCTTAGCAAGATTCGACTTGTGCTCACGACAACATCCACTCCTGCAGCAATCGCGTCATTCACAAGATGTGAACAATTTCTCACAATATCTGTTCTTTCGTCTGAAGAAGCCGCTAAGATCTGACTGACGTCGAGCTCGATGTGTTTCAAAGTTTCCACATTCTTGTGTAGCAAATGCTCTAATTGTGCTGTGGTTCTGGGGACGTAAGACCCAACAATGATTAAGCCGCCTCTACCACGGGTACTGGACGCTTCGAATAAGCGTTTCGGTGACAACGGGGGTGACTTCCCAATTCCAAGGTACGCCGAAACAAGACTTGCACCGCTTCGGTAGACAAATCTCGCATCCGTTCTTGCTCTGGCTGCGATGAAGGTCGCCATATCGTTGTAGTTGACTGCGTTGAGGATGATGATCAATGGAAGGCCAACTGCTGTCGAGGGCGCCGAATTTGAGAGATGCTCCAATTTGGAAGCAACTCGAGATACCGCATCTGGATGTCGCAGTTCTTCAATGCTTATGCTTGTGACGTCCGGGGCATGTTTTCCTTCTTTGTTATATTTTTCAACAACCCATTCTCGGAGATTGCTTGACTGGAAGCCAAAAGCCTTGTCCTTCGCGAATGGCGTACCAGCAACTGGTACAAGCATAGGACCCTCGCGTACGTAGTGCACGTCGTCGATTGTGATACGGCCGCCTTCGAAAAAGGCCGGTGCCAGGATGCATCCATCCACAGTATCGATCATGCGATTTACAAGATCTGGCTCCAGAGGGAAGTGCCCGCGCAGGCATGAATCAGATCTTGTCACGACTTCAATTTCTACGCCCTCTTTGGATGCAGCGGCGCGTAGATTGGTTAAGATAACCCGAAGAAGATCTTTGGCCTACCAATAGTTATTACAAATGAACAGAGAGTGTGGTGGGAAATGGGCTCTTTGCGATTGTTTGGGCCTGCCAACCTGATCATGATGAAGTGCACGAGTGTTTGTCAACACGAAGAATCCACGTTCTCTTTTCCTCAGCTGTGTTCGTAGTATGGACTCGGAGTGTGTTGTCAGGACGGAGATACCGTGAACCGTCTGAGTTCCTGTTGGATCATCATCCAGCACAACGAGAGCCTTGAGATAGTTTAGGCGGCCACGGTCCACCAATAAGTCAGACTCTGCCACCTTCGCGCAAGGTAGAGAAGATTCGACGGCCGCATGCAACTTGGGCTCATACTGGGTTGGTCGCGACATTTTCAGCTCTTGGGAATTGCGGTGCAAAAGAGTTAGCGGTCGATGCATCTCCCTTCACTCACGCTCCCGACCAGGTTCCTGGGCCACGCAATATATCGAACTCAAGAGAGGCATGCTTGCGTTTTCCTATATTCCGGTCAAGTTCCGCTCGTCATCTCCACACATCTACAATTTGTGGGCCACCATATGGTTACCATCCATGCGATCTGCGAAAGCGTTCACACTAGCATCTCGCAGCTGATCTAGTGCGCCGGCATCTTTCCGTGCCAACTTCGCAGTCGGCTATTCGGTCGCCAGCACAATTGTTGGGGTGGCGAGTGCGTCTCACGATTTATTTGCTTGTATATCACTGTCTCATATGCATTGGTTTCACTTACCTAGATAGCGCAAAAATCCCAGCACCAAAATGTCGTCTTTCGTCAAGGCCCTCGATACTCTTCAGCGCACGTACAGCAAACAGGGAGATGAAGACACACTAAATACAGCAATGCGAAGGGCCCTTCGTCAACATGCAGCGGCTGAGCGACTTGAATTTCGTGTATGATCCCAATGTCCGATTGAAAACGCGCTCTTTGACTGACTTGTTGCAGCAAGATAACGTGGGCAATGTGTACATTAATAAACAAGGAAGAGACAGCGATCTAGGAGGGGTTGCACTCGCGTTCCCACTCGACGAGCACAAGTCTCCGCAACTGTTTGTTGGCGCATTTACGGTATTCAGCCAGCTAGCAAGCCAGGATCTACTCTGTGGACTAACATTTATGGGCTGCACTTCGTCGAAAGAAGGACCCATCGGCTTGGAAATGTGGGCGGCATCGACTGGTGCCTCGGCGAAGTCTGCATCGCCATCGCCACAGTTGGGCTTGCTGAAGCAGTTTTCCAACCTCCCAAACCCGTCAGATTTCATCTTCTCTGCCGTATTTCAGGTTTTCGACACGACCTCGGAAGCATTGAAGCTGGATGGTAGTTTCATTCTGATAACGCAGGCACAGAAGGCCTCTCCAGATCTTAGTGATGTTACGACGCATGTACGGGATTTCCTTAGAGCTCCACGTCTACTGATTGATGGTTGCAATGCAGAAAAAATTGCAACGGAGAGCATTCGCGGGTATAGCGAGTACATAGCTGCACTGTTTGATAACTTTGACTAAGTTAGTACTATGAGGGTTGAGCAAAGACCATGTTTACTAGGGAGTACATGTAGTTTCTGTGCTCTTTTAATAGATATCTACTGAGATATGGCAATGTACTTGCGTTTCGAAAGAAAAGCGATAGAATGTAGGAGGCCATAGCCTTTGCTATGTGGCTTCGCTTCATTTTCTGACTAGATGTCTTCAACGTTAAGCAGTTACTGAAGAGTTGCTAAAGCAATAACAACCTATGATGCCCTGCGCATCCCATACTAAACCGAAAAGGTCGTTTACATTTGCTTCTTGTTAAACACTCACTACTGTGATTCTATGTGAGAAAAGCCGTGACGCGACTTTGAGAAGAACATAAGCTCAGTATCCACATATGATAGATGTGAACAAGGTCGTGTTTGCAGCCTTGTTAAAAGTGAGAAACGCTACCACAGCACGATTGCTAAAACTTCTCTGGCAGCAATGATTAGGGAGCTATTGGATGCTCTGTTACTACTTTGACTAAAACAAGCGATGACGAAGTGCAGGCAAAGCGGAAGGATAGATCCTCCGGCATCTTACCGCCGCTTTGTCCGTAGCTGGTCTAAATGCCGAAGGGGGCCGTGGTCTGTAGGACCTTAATAACCAGCTTGTAGACTCAAACCAGACGAGGTAAAAAGCTTTTCATTTCATTTAATATTCAAACATACTGTAATACTTTGTACAGCAAACAGCAGAAAAAGCAATAAAGAAGAAACATGGCATCTCAGCTGCGTTCCTACGGGCTCTTCGATGGCCCCAGAGGCAAGTTGTTCTTCGAGGGAGAGAGCAATCCTGATGGGCTGTCGATTTTGTTTATTCATGGACTTGGTGGTACCACCAATGCATATCGCTTGTTCGTCATCTGACCAATTTTGATTTGGTGCGATTCGACTGGTCTGGCCATGGCGAAAGTTCTACCCCGCAGACGACGAACATCGATACATACGTGGATGACTGCGAAGGTATGTAAGATCACCAGACTTCTTGCTACCCTGTACAGAGCGGCTCATTGATTCTTTAGCGGTCGTCAAACTTCTTGGCCTTCAGTCCGTTGTCGTAGTGGGGCATTCCCTCGAGGTCTCCATAGCCCTTCTACTGGTAGCAAAGCATCCGCAACTAGTCAAAGCTTTGGTACTCCTTGGCCCTGTTTGTCCATCACCTGATGCGGGCCAGAAAGCAATGGGTGCACGTATTGAAACAGTTCGTCAAGGCGTTATGGCAGCCGTTGCTGATACGGTTATTTCTAACGCATTCGCCTCGGAATCCCTGGAAAAGAAGGATGCGGAAGTGGCTTTAGGTAGGGAAATGCTGACTCGTCAAAGCCCTGCGGGCTATGTAATGGCTGTTGAGTCTCTTAAGAACAGCTATACTCCGGACTGGAAATGTATACAGACACCCACGGTGGTGGTTAGTGGTGACGAAGACAAGGTTTCGTCAGTTGCCGTTGGTGAGATGGTTGTATCCGACCTTGATAACCTTGCAGGGCAGGTCGTGTTGTCAGGGGTAGGTCACTGGCATATGCTGGAGGCGCCTTTCAAGTGCGTTGAAATAGTCACAAAATACAGTAGTCGCTAAAGTTTGATTAGATATCATGCTGCTATATGACAATCCAAGTGGCATCTTACTATACGGTTAGTTTAGTTGCCGGACCATATGTTGTTGGGTTGGACGAATATCGCATATGTTGGCGAAATGAATTGCTTATGCGGGCTATGTTAGATACTACACCTCGTAAAATATAATTCGTCATTAAACTATACGTGAAAAAATTAGGTGTGATGATGCAAGCCGGATAAACAAGATAATAGTTCAAGCTTGTACAACTGCTAAAGTATTTTCTAATTGCCGTTTTCTTAGAAGTCTCCGAAAAAGGAGGCAAGCCGGCTGTGAGGCGCATTCCCGCAGCACATGCGCTCCAGTCAAGGGATGCACCGCCAATAGCTTTAACAGCAGTCATATGGTTCCAAGCTTGATCAATAATTGGAGTTGGCGTCGATGTCTCTGCACCCAGTCGCCGTATATGTGCTGCGTCTTTCATCTCCCCGGAAAGAGTGAAACCCGTGCCCCTCGAGAAGGATCCGTCACGGACTTTCTTTCCGTAATTGATCCAGGCGGCTGCGGGAAACCAAGCTTCTATAAAGAGCATTGGTTAGTGTGAGAGGCACTGAAACATAGAAAACATATCTTACGGATGAAATCGTAAAACAGCGCCACATCGAAGCCTGTTTTCTCAGCAAGAGTAAAGGTTTCTGATAACAGCTCAATGGTGCCAAGAATGCAGTTGTACCCTATAATCTTAAGGAGAGCGCCTCTAGCTGTGTCGTTGCCACAGTCGATAACGGCTTTACCCAGTGTTGGGACGATGTATTTTTTCAACACCTCTAGAGCATGCTCCGCACCAGAAAGTGCAATAAGCAATCCGGCAGTTTCTGCTGCGGTAGGAGGGCTAAACACTGGACAGGAGCAGAAAGTCACTTAATAGCTGTTGGCCTCATCCTGAAGCAGTTTTGACGTTGTGGGAAATAGAGTCGAGTGGTCTACAAGAATCAACTCTTGCTTTCCTACAGCGAGTATCTGTCGAACGACGGAGAGCGCGACTTCCTCGTTTGCTAGACACATGTAAATTATATCACAGGCTTGCGCCAGGGACTCGATGGAATCCGCAACTTTGGCAACGTTCTGCTCAGCAAACTGCTTGCTTTTGCTGCGTGAGCGGTTCCAAATATGCACGGGAGAGAGGGATTTGCTATAAAGCGATAAGTTATGAGCCATCCAGGAGCCCATATTCCCCAGCCCAATGGATCCAAAGTGTGGGTTGCTGCAACCATGTTGAACGGGGTAAAGTCGATGGCCTATATAAAACAAATGGATACCAGGCAGTATCCTCTATTGCACTTGATATTACCCGAAGATTTTTGGAAGGAAAACATGTATATTTAAATCATGTTTTCTAGTTTGGATGGTCACTTGCGCCTATTCCATGTACCTTGCAATTGGATGTAAATTTCAAGTCGAGAATATTGCAACTAAACTGCAAGCGATCCTGCTGCATCTAACGCACATTTCAGAAAGCAAGAAACCCAGAAAGGAAAGAAGAAAGGGAGATACAAACTATTGCTAACCTATGTAAAATAAGAAATATGACTAAGACTCCTCCTTTTTTATAAGAAATAGTAAGAGGATTACTAATATTAGTAATAGTAATTTAATTATTAGTTTTTCTTTAGTAAGAAATAGGGATAATTAAAGATAACTTTGTATAAAAAAAGAAAATAAGATAGGGGGAGGGGGGAGCATAGGCTTTTTTTTTTTTTATAAAGGCTACATGTAGTCTTCCTGATCTCTAAACCACCGAAGTTTAACCTCCCAAAGTCGTTACCTAGGTGGTAGTATATTCGGCATTTACACTAGCGGGGTACACCGTCCAAATTTTCACATAGGTAATAATAACCACCACCCATCGTAGAACTGCTATTTATAATTGGTATGGCAGGGAAGTGTGGGTTTGAAGAGCGATTCGGATTGCCCAGGGGTCTATTCTTGCAAGACGACTTTATCAGCCCGGAGCATGAGGAGCAACTGGTTCACACCTTTCTCAATAAACTGAAATGGCCCCAAAAGGCCAGCAGTCGCCTGTCATTACACTACGGCTACACATTTGATTACAAGACCTTCGGGGTAGACCCAGATATCCCATATAAAGAGTTTCCCGACTGGCTCATACCATTAATCCCCACAACGGAGGCTCGACCACCCGACCAGGTCTGTCTACAATACTATCCGCCAGGCACAGGAATCCCGCCGCACGTGGATGCTCATCAGGCCTGGGACCAATTGTACGCGCTGTCTATCGGGTCGCCAATCTCGATGCAGTTTCGTAACGGAGATGAGCGCGTTGATATAGACCTAATGCCGCGGGGGATGATGAAGATGACTGGAGAGGCGAGGCTGCACTGGACTCATGGTATTAAAAAGAGAAAGACAGACACTCTGGCAGACGGGACAGTCAGGCTTCGTGAGGATAGGTGGAGTATCACGTATCGCTGGATCAGGGAGGGGGACTGCGAATGTGGAAATGTTACATTGTGCGATGTTGCTCAGCAGCGACTTGGGATTGAAAAGGAAAAAAGATCTGCAGTAATATCTGATACTAAGAAAACAGAGTAAATATATTTTATTGGCGGGAAGAGATTGCACCTCTCACGACCAGTTTACACTATCTTGCTAGACTAATTGCTGAATATTACCCGTTGGCTCCATCTCTAATGACCAGTTAGAGCCAGGAACAGGACAAGACCCAAAGCGCGAGATCTCAATTGACATCACGATTATAAAGAGGTAGTGTTTGGGAGGTACTATAGCCACTTTACCACTCATGTTAGCGCAGCGGAAGCCAAAGTTATTAACTCTATTTCCCTTTCGTTACACCTTGGACCTCATGATGCTAGCGAATAGGAACTATTCTAGATTTTCTCCTACTATCAAGAAATGTGTAAGTTTCCTATATTTAATAGATTCATGCATGTTCTATTTAGAAGAATACCCATGCCCACACCTTGATTTAATCAACCATAATCAATGGGCAGGCTGCCCGACCATTATCAGCCTTTTCGACAAACACTCATGAATTGGTCCCTCAGTACCTGCGCCAGCGACGGGTATTTGTCCCTAATCTTAGGCTGAGTGAGGCGAGTCGTCCAAGTCCAGTTGTTGCCTTCCAGGATACGGGAGACAATGGCTCACTCGTGAAGGCCCTCAGAGAGCTTGCTAGATGGCAGGTTCCAGTAAACTTTATATATTCTAGTTATAAAAGGAAAGAGAGAGCGGGGGATAACAGGCAGGATTAGTGTATATGCACGGAAATAATATATTATAATACAGTTTATTAGCTAGTGGCTGTTTATTGCATTGGATAATATACCTTTGCCGGCTGGCTTTATTTAAGTTAAAAATAAACTGATAAGTTAGTCACTGGTTCTTTTGCATTGGCTGTAGTTTACTGTCTTATGTGTGTTTACACTTTGCAAAAGTTAAGCGGGCAACTGAGGCATTCAAGGACTACATTAGAAGACTAACGGGTTTAATAACGTTGATTTGGCGTTTATCCAAGGAGAGCGTAATAACTCCTATGGACAAAGCGGTATTTCTGGCACTGTAGCCTAATGAACCACAATCCATCGCCCATGGCTTCAAGGCAGAATTCCCATATCCCATACCATGGAATTAGCGGAATAGTCCCGGATATTTAATTCCTTGGCGATAAACCCGGGCTAAATTAACTATGACTTTCACAAGCCTGCTAGAATACCACCAGTCGCTAATGGGGTAAGCGATGTATAGTATTAAACTCAGCTGAATCTTTATCTTAACCAGAATCTTAGGTATTACCAAACACAAAGCCCTTTACCAGCCTAGTAATAGCTAAACCGGAATTAGCGATTGACCGAGTTCAATTATAAATAAGCTAGGCTAGAACATTGAAAACTTACAACAGTTGAATCCCCGCTTATCTTCAAGGGCAACACTTAATTTTAACATTTGCAGACCCACTGCAGGCAACTGTAGGCAGCAGTGGGGATAGTGTCCTTTAAAACTTGTACCTTAACTCAAAAGGTTAAATAACTTCCGTCTTACTACCAATTGCACTTAATTTTAACATCATTGAGATAGTTTCAATCCTCTCTCCTCCCAATTTCTCTCTCAAATTAACAAACACTTCCGCTATTCTCGATAAGCCATGACCATGATGCAGCAGCAGCACACTTCGTGGCCGCTACTTACGGAAGACGTGCTAGCCATCATCATCTCCATGGTGCCACGAGGCACGCTCCTGAATTTTCGCTTGGTCAACCGATCTCTTGGTGCTCTGGCCACCGAACGCGCCTTTCGGCATGTACGCCTTTTTGCCCAGGAGGAGGGCACTCGCTTCGTTGACATTGCACGGTCCGAGGCGCTCCGCTCGTGCGTCCGCGAGATAACCTGTGACACCACCCTTAGCAAGGACGATTTTAGCTATCATGCTAATGACGATTTTACTTTCCCTTGGAGATTCATGGCGGCCCTTCCATTCGTGCGTTATTTCAAGAGGCTGGAAATCCTGAACTTAAACTTCAATGAGTACTGTGGGCCGGAGGACAACGATGAAGACCTGCTTGATGGCATGGCTATTGAAGAGTCGCCTGATATCCGGTTCCGTATTCTAGACACCATCTTCCACTGCCTCGAGGGTACATGGTCTGCCGAGAATCAGCGTGAGGTGGATGAAGGGCTTGATCTTAGTGACGATCGCGATATTCTGGACATCGAAGATGACCCTGAAGTAGCATTCTACAAGGACGACTATCAGGGCTTCGCGGCTCCTATTCATGACCCACCTTCGTCGGTTTGTTTGACAATCTGCAACTTAGGAGACTTCGACGACCCGCGCCTTACCCAATCGGACACGTTTCGCCGGGTTATAGCTTCTCAGATATCTGAACTAAAAATTCTGTTCACGGTCCAAACCAATAACGCCTCGCCGGAGAGCACGATATATCGGCCAGAGAAGTATAATCTCATGAAGAATCTGCCCCACAATTGGCTGATGCCATCGCTTGCCATGAACTTGACAGTTCTTTCTTTATACTGCCGTGACTATTGGGGCTGGATTCCCAGGATGGACTTCCGTTGCGTCAATCCGGGCTCGGGTCCGGGCTCGGGCTTCCCGAATCTCAGGATCCTGGCTCTAGGGAACTATATCTTCACCCACGAGTGGCAGGTCGACTGGATCGCTTCCTTAGGGCTCCAAAATGGACGGTGCGGGCTTGAAGAGCTTTATCTAGATGATTCTCCCATCCTATACAAGGCTCGAATGGTCCAACCCATGAACTCCGGGGAGTCGGAAGTGACTAACGTCATTACTGGAGAGGTTATTGCCATCACAGATGATCTGTACCCGCTCCCAGAAGTCGTTATGGGAGGGACGTATAACCCGGATATCATTTATTTCCCTCTTCGATGGGACTATGTACTTGGTCGCTGGAGAGACTCAATGAAGGGTCTTCGAGTCTTTCGAATGGGTCACGGTGCCTGGTGGGAGCACTATGGGTTCGATCGTGCCATTGAGTCTGATGAATGGATTCAGTCGAGCGACAGACGTGATTTCATTTCATATGATTGCGCAGCTTTCCGATGGTATGATTGCCCAGTTGTTGATGAAGAAAGCGATGAATACTTTGAAGGTAATGAGCGCTTTAAAAATGGGGAAGGGCTCCGGCTGGCTAGGCAACACCAGTGCCAGTATATTGAATACAATATAGGTATAGGCCCTAGTCCATGGCTAGAATCAAAGGATAGGTATTTATATACCCTTGATGATTACCCGAAATTGGATCCAGAGCTGGACCCAACAGGGACCCTAATGAAAGATGAAGATAAGGCTCTTAGAAGTCTTCTGGAGATAATAGATCAGCGGCGGAGAATGGATTTAAATGTATAAGCTATTTAAATTATATATATATATGCTTTAAAATTTATAAAGAGTGTAAGTAGGACGCCTATTTCGCTCCTGGCTATAGTGTATTTTTGTAATTTTACTTAAAATCAATACAGTTTATAAGTGCTATAGTAGCTTAAAGATAAAAATCTAGCTAGTGTGATTGCTTAAGCTAACCAACCTCCTCCGACTCTCCGATAATATTAGCTTTAGTCTTTATATCATCGAACTTAGTCTAAACTTTCGGAATAGAGTCCACATTAGTCCACTTTAATTCTTGCCATTTAACCTTATATATTGCAACTGCACTGTTAAAGTGCCTGACTGTCACAACCCAATACTTATAGTCGCAACCATAGGCCTGCAAGAACAGGCAGGACCGGATTAACAATAGTCCGTTAAACCAATTAACAGAGACTTATTAACTTACCTATTAATCCAGCAACGCAATTCACTAAACTTATAAAATAGGTCCAGTAAGCTACTTAACTTAATTAAATATATAAGTTTACTTTACTATACTCTTTAAATAACTTAAATAGCTAGTTATTAATATAAAATTAAAATTATAATATACTTTATAGCTTATATATTGTTATAACCTATCTCTTATAGTCGCACCAACTGGCCTACCGGGTAGGCAGAACTGGATTAATATAGGACCAACTTACTAATCACAGACGGATTATTGGATTATTAAGATAATTTAATAAGCTAGGAATAGATTATTAAAATCTTAAGATAATCTATAATAGATTATTAGATTCTTGTCACAACCTAACACTTATGGTCGCAACAACCGGCCTATAGGGTAAACGGAATTAGATTAATATAAGACCGGCCAGCTAATTAAAATAGGATTAAGAAATATAACATTAATCTATCTTAGGATTAATAATCTTAACAGTAATCCACAATAGGATTAAGAATTTAAACCTTAATCCTAGCCTTTATTCCGCAGCGAGCCGTGCGTACGGCTCGATGAAATAACAGGGGTTAGTGGCCTATGCGCGGTAAAGGCAGGGGGGCACGGCTTAATGTTATACGGCTCGATGAATGATTAGCAGCTTAGGGTAAAGGTAAGGTAAGGTAAAGCCGGGGGTAGGGGGGGCCTAGTAGTAATATAGTTAATATAGTATAGTTCCCCCCCCCCCTTTATATAATATACTTATTACTACTACTGCTATTACTATTACTATCGCTATTACTATTACTATTACTATTACTATTACTATTACTATAGTATTACTATTACTCTTATTTATTATTATTATTCTTATTATTATAAGTTATTTAATATTTTTTTACTTTTAATTTCCCCTTCCTTATATAACACACTTATTACTATTACTATTACTATTACTATCACTATTACTATAGCATTACTATTACCATTTATCTATTATAGGTTATTTTATTTATATTTTTATTACTTTAGTCCCCTTTATATAATATATTATATTACTATTACTATTACTATTACTATTACTATCACTATTACCATCACCATTACTATCACCATTACTATCACCATCACCATCACTATCACCATCACCATTACCATTACCATCACCAGTCACTATTACTAATCACTATCACTTGCCATACAAGGTAAGTATATTCCCCCACGCGGCTATAAGTAAAGGTAAGAGAGGAAAAGAGAAATATAGGTTATCTTATTTATATCTATCTTTACTTTAGTCCCCTCCATATAATATATAATATTACTATTACTATTACTATTACTATTACTATTACTATTACTAATTACTATTACTAATTACTATTACTTGCTATATAGGGCGAGTATATTCCCTTATATAGCTATAGGTAAAGGTTAAAGAAAGAGGAAGGAAAGGAAGGAAAGGAAGGAAAAGACAAGGCTAGCTCCTATATAAGAGAAGCATTTAAAGCTAGTAACTATATTATTAAAGAGACCCCCGGCCTAGAAGTAGAAGAGCTTCTCCCCTTGCTTACTCCTAATCCCAGCATTAAAGGCTATATTTATAATTAAAACGCGCTAGGGGATAGTAAATATACCACTTAAGCTATATATTTTAATAAGAAAAAAAGCCAGGGGGAAAAAAGAAAAAAAAAAAGGAAAAGATAAGGCTAGCTCTTATATAAGGTAAGTATTTAGGCCTAGGGGTAAAAGAGGAATAAAAGAGAATAACAGAGCAAAGGGAACTAAGTAAAAAGAGGCTGGCTTTTATATAAGGCGGGTGTCTGGGCCGGCTGAGTAAAAGGAAAGAAAATGGAAGCAAATAATAAATAAGGTAAAAGGGGAATTAAATTAAGTAAAAGGCTAAAGGCTAGCTCTTATACAGGGCAAGTGTCCAGGCTAGCTAAGTAATAGGAAAGAAAATAAAAAAGAATAATAAAGTAAAGGAAGAAAGCTAGGTAAGTGTCTAAGCCTACTCCTATATAGGGCAAGTGTCTAAGCCGGCTAAGTAATAGGAAAGAAAATAAAAGAGAATAATAAAGCAGAGGAAGAAAGCTAGGCAAGTGTCTAGGCCTACTCCTATACAAGCGAGTGTTTAAGGCTAGTAAGTGTGTATTCTAGGAAGAAAGCCAGGAGAATAGAAAAGGAAGATAATACTAGCTCCTATACAGCGTAAGTATTTAAGGCTAATAAGTATATATCCTAGGAGTAAGTGTGTCTTAGTCCTAGAGTAAAAGCCAGGTAAAGGAAAGCTAAAAGAAAGAAAAAAAAAAAAAAAAAAAAAAAAAAAAAAAGAAAGAAAGAAAAATAAAAAGAAAAAAAGAAAAAAAAAAAAAAAAAAAGAAAAAAAGAAAGATAGAAAAAAAGAAAGAAAGATAAGCTAGCTTCTTATACAGGCGGGTGTTTAAAGCTAGCAAGTAATATTCTTATCCTAGAGTAAAAGCTAAAGCTAGGTAAATAAGAGCCAAAAGAAAAAAAAAAAAATAAAAAAAAAGAAAAATAAAAAGAAAAAAAGATAAAAAAAAAAAAAAAAAAAAAGAAAAAAAGATAAAAAGAAAGAAAAACAGAAAGAAAGAAAGATAAAAAGAAAGAAAAATAAGCTAGCTTCCTATACAGGCGGGTGTTTAAAGCTAGCGAGTAGTATTCTTATCCCAGAGTAAAAGCTAAAGCTAGGTAAATAAAAGCCAGAAGTAAGAAAGAAAAATAGAAAAAAAGAAAGATAAGCTAGCTTCCTATACAGGCGGGTGTTTAAAGCTAGTAAGTAATACTCTTATCCTAGAGTAAAAGCTAAAGCTAAGTAAAAAAGAGCTAAAAGAAAAAAAGATAAAGCTAGCTTCTTATATAGGTAAGTGTTTAAAGCTAATAAATATATTCTTATCCTAGAGTAAAGGCTAGGTAAAAGAAAGCTAGAAGAAATATAAAAGGAGAAAGGAAAAAGGAAAAAGGAAAATAAGCTATAGTATAATAGCAGCGCACGCTACTGCTAAATAGCTTTATATAAAGGGCTAAAGCTTCTACCTCGGCGGTAAATTAGCGCAAGGAGGAAAAGAGGTAAAGCTAAGCGGTATATTTACCCTAAGTTACATATAAATTATAGCGCATACTTACTTTATATTTCATAGAGCTATTTGCCCTCCTGCTAGCTAATGCAGCAGTTATATAGCAGAGATAAAATAACTACTGTATCTCTCTGCCTCACTCCTTCTTTTTTCCCTCCCTCCTTCTAATCTAATATCACTAACCATACACATATACATCTGCTATTATTAATAAGCAGCTTTATATTACTCTTTAATATAGCATAGCACAGTATAGATTACATAGCGCTATCGCCTCCTTTTACCTTTACTATTACTATTATTAATTAACAGCTAGTAACTGCAGCCTTTACACTTTATATAATAACTAACACTACAATAGCCAGGTATTTATTTCCCCTACTCCCTTACTCCATTACTTTATTACATTTCACCTACCTTATCTTATATAAAAGCCAGCTGCTAACCTTTACTTCTCTTCCTCTATTTCTAGCTAAGATAATACCCAGCTTATAGCTTTTTACTAGCAGCTATTAAATCCTAATAGCATAAGTCCCTAGCCCTTTCTTACTCTCTATCTAGGCGCCCTAGTGTAATATCTTCCATATAAAAGCTAACCTCACTCCCTTTTCTCTAGCTACCACCGCCTATAAGTCTTATAAATAGCTCCTCATCCGGTAATACACGCCTCTTTAACTTTAACATTACCGGGCAGCAGCTGCGGCTATATATTAAAAATACTTTATAAGATACTATCCTCTAACTCCCTAGCTGTGTTATAACCTTCCTGCGCGGCCATATATAACTAAATTAGATTATAAGTATGTGTAACTTATACATTAACACCTTTCTTATTTAAAGTTAAGGGACTGCCACTGACCCTCTATGCGGCGCTTACTAAGATAAAATAATATTAAATCCTAATAGCTACATTAACCCTTTCCTTACTTACATATAACTCCCTAGCCACTTTAACAGTAGCTATAAGAATTATAAGTAGCGGGACTATACTGCTTACTACTTTAAAGGCAATAACCCAGGCAGTTCCACATAACTATTATAATAAGGGCGTTTAAGCCATTGCGCATAATAAGGCCAAAGCTATATAAGCCAGGCCCGCGGCTAGCGCCAGATAACTTTAAGATCTATAAAAAACCTAATTAACTTAGATAATAATAGGTATAACCTTAAGGTAAATAGCAGTAGCTAATTTATATATAAGGGGTTATTAAAGGAGTTAAAGGAGAATAAAGAAAGCAGTAGTAATCCTATTTAGCTGCTAGGGAACTAGCTATTTACTATATAAATAAATAAGTAAGTAAATAAATAAGTA